TGTCAACACCTGAACTATAGATAGCGAGTGAAGTAATCGAACGCGTGGACAACTCCACTTATCTTGGAAGTTCGATCAGCGCTAATGGGTTGAAGTCTGATGAAACCTCTGCTCGGATTCAGAAAGCTCGTTTGGCTTTTGTTAACTTGCATCACTTGTGGCGAAGGCGAAATATCCGTTTATCAATTGAGGGAGGAGTATGTTGTGCGGTAGTTCGTTTTGTCCTACTTTATGGCTGTGAAACGTGGTCATTATGAGTAGACGATACTCGTCAGCTACTAGTATTTGACCACAGATGCCTTAGAAATATTGCTGGCATCTGCTGGGATCATCGGATAAGTAATAGTGAGGTTAGACGCAGGGTATTAGGGAATGATGGTAAATCAGTTGATGAGGTTGTGAATCTTCATCAACTGAGATGGTTGGTCGGGTTAACTGAACACTGATTACCACGTCTCGCAACTCTGACTAGTGTTGGAGACGGCTGGAACTAGGTTAGGGTCGGCTAAACCAAATCTTGACATCAGTGCTTGAAGTCACTAACTTCTAGACTGAACCATGTTGGTAGATGCAGACTAATTGGTTGTGGTCCGCTTGACTATCCTAACCAATGGTTGGGGACTGTGTAACATGACTCAGAATCGATCACAATGGCGTAGGTGTATATACTATTTATCTTCTCTTAAACCCTGAGATTAGAATTCCTTCATACCTTTCTTTTTACGAACTAATTCTCTCTTCCTGTACTATATCTGTATACACAATTTTTCTTTTACATATTACTACCATTGAAGTAACTACTTCTATAAATTTGGTGTTCATTCTTGTTGTGCTAATGAGGTATGGCAACTTGGACCTATGCATATATGTGCCTGGTCTTACGTTGTTACTGACTGACTGCCTGTTGAAAACTGCTTATGAATCTGATGTAATGAGATTTTTTGAAGTCTGTGCTGTCACATGCTATTCACTTAGACGTATATGAATCTAGTTTTGTTTGTAGGCATTAATGAGCTATGAAATGTCATCGAAATCTGGTCAAGCATTTAGTGACTTTTACACAGAGTACTTTACTTTTATTTATCTAAAACCCATAGTACACATATGTACTTGATTTGTTTGTGATGTCTGTATACTTACTTATTTTATCGATCGTTTGCCTCCTTACTCACCTTCATTTTATACTTTGTTTATTTTTGTGAATGATACAACACACACCTAAATATTTCAAGTAGGATGGTAAATACCTATTCTATCTGAATCTATCTGACTTGATATTTGGGACTAGTCAGTGAGGTTTGAACACTGATAACACTATGTAACATGGGTAGTTCGTAGGATAATGGGTTCTTATCTTGCAACTACATCAATGGTCATAGGATTTTTAACAGTTACTCCCTTTCCACTAACCAATATGTATGGTCTCAGTATTGGCAATATACTTTCAAATATTCTTAAAACGCTTATCATCTTCTCTTTCTTCAACTTCACGTTCTTTGTTTTACTCGAATGAATTTTGATAAGTTGAATCCTTATGATTTTTGATGACACTATCGACTTCAATTTTGCCACAATTTATTATTTAATCATTAACATGGAGGAGGACAAGTAGATTTTGTTAAACCTGACCGAAGCTGCTACCTTGACGCGGTGGTCGGGCTTGCCTATCGTGATGACCCAACCGAGCGATATTGGCTGGAACATATGTTCCTGCAGGTTCTACCATGCCAGGCAGGTCGATTGGCGAACGGTAAGACTAAAAGCAGCAACTCAAGGTCTGAGGGCGAAGTCGTACTGCTGACTGTAGAGGGGTGTGACAGCAGTAAGGTGTTTCCCTCGGACAACCAGCATGACAGCGATGCTGCCTTCCCACAAGGAGGGGTGGGGTTAGAAAAGATCGACCCTAAAAATGTCACACCTCACCTTACCTCACGGATTTCCGTCTCCGGCGGTAAGACCCTTTGAAAAACAGAGCTAACATAGTAAAAACCTTCCACAAAAAGGCCGTGCGCGACTGGCCTCAAGCAGTTGTCCCTTGGGCACTGCGGTCACGCTCCCAGGTCGTTAAGACCAACACTAATCCAATTTCCTTTTCAGGTTCCTCAAGAAATACCCTTCCACGGTGTGAGCAGCCGGGAAGTGACATCAGCCCTCATACCCGTAACAGCATACGAGACCAAATTGGTCACATTCAAATCCTTCCTACACCTCCTAATACCTCTCTTATCTCCATGACTAACACTCCTTGCCTCTCTTTATCATCTCGCACGGCTAGGGCAAACGATTCGAGTGCGCGGAACGCTATTTCTGGTCTCCTGAAACCACGCTCTAAACTACACGTAGGAGCTTTTAACGTCCGAACACTGTGCCAAATAGGACAACAGGCTTCCTTAGCTAAGACTTTAGAATCCCGCGCCATCGATGTGTGCTGCGTCTCCGAGACGCGCATACAGGATCCGAGTAGCGTCATTCACTTGACCTCAGCATATCAAAATAAAGAACCAACTCGATTCACGCTTCGTGTATCTGGAAGCCCTGATGCTGCTTCTCGTTGCCTCGCCGGCGTAGGTATAGCATTGAGTCCTATGGCAGAACTAGCTCTCTTAAACTGAATCCCAGTAGACAGTCGTTTGTGCGCTGTCCGACTAAACGGAACAGTAAGAATCCGAAAAGATAGGGACACTCGTCGTTGCCTCTTTGTCGTCTCTACCTATTCTCCCACTAACTGCAGCTCAGATGATGTAAAAGATGAGTTTTACAGAAAGCTCTCTGACCTTCTCCGAAGAGCTAGGCGCTCGGATGTAGTAATAGTGGCTGTTGACTTTAATGCTCAAGTAGGTAAACTAAGCGAAAAGGAAGGACACCTGGGTGGATCTTATAGCATCGTGGCTCAAAGAACAGATAATGGTGACCGTCTGTTGCAGCTATGCTCAGATAACCGCCTCTTTCTTGCAAATACTAACTTTAGGCATAAGGAAAAACATATTTGAACATGGCGATCCCCTAATTCGTCCCAACGTTGGACCCAAATAGATCACATCGCTATCAGCCATCGATGGAGGGGCTCGATAGAAGACTGTCGCTCATTCTGGAGCACATGCTTAGACTCAGATCATGCTCTAGTACGAGCGCATATCTGTCTGCGTCTTACTGGACGTAAGAAAGACGCTGCAAAGAAACCTCTTAGGGTCCAACTTAATGATAATCAAGCTAAGAGTATATTTCAGGAACAACTAGGAAAACAGTTAGGAAGCCATGTACGTGATGCCCATCCTGAGGCAGCATGGAATGATATCCGAAAAGCTGTGGAAATAGCAGTAATATCTGCCAGTAAGGTAACCCGTAAGGTTAGGGAGCAACACTGGATCTCAGCAGCATCTATCTCACTGATAGATGCTGGGATCACCAGGTAAGTAATAGTGAGGTTAGACACAGGGTATTAGGGAATGATGGTAAATCAGTTGATGAGGTTGTGAATCTTCATCAACTGAGATGGTTGGTCGGGTTAACTGAACACTGATTACCACGTCTCGCAACTCTGACTAGTGTTGGCGACGGCTGGAACTAGGTTAGGGTCGGCTAAACCAAATCTTGACATCAGTGCTTGAAGTCACTAACTTCTAGACTGAACCATGTTGGTAGATGCAGACTAATTGGTTGTGGTCCGCTTGACTATCCTAACCAATGGTTGGGGACTGTGTAACATGACTCAGAATCGATCACAATGCCGTCGGTGTATATACTCTCTGTCTTCCCTTAAACTAAGAGATTGGAATCGCTTCATATCTTTCTTTCTACGTACGAAATCTTTCTTCCTGTACTATATCCCTAAATGCAATCTTTCTTTTATATATTACCACCACTGACTTAACTACTCCTATGAATCTGTTCATCATGCTGTGCTAATGCGGTATGGCAACTTGGACCGATGCATATATGTGCCCGGTCATACGTTGTAGCTCACTGACTGACAGAGTATGTTCCAAGGGTTAATCACAAGTTAAGGAAATCCGTTTACCTGGTTTATAGGAAAAGAGAGTATCTTGTATGTCAAAAATCATTTTATAGTATTCATTATAACTAAATCTCCTTAGTCCGTGTTAAGCTAACTTACATAGATTTAAATATTCGAGCCGCGTTTTGCGTGGTAAGCCTCGAGATTTTAGAACCGCATTGCCTTTCGTCTCATGTTACTTTTCCGGAATGTTCAAATCATCTTTTATAGGGACTGAGAGCCTGAAAGCGTTTTTTTAAGTTGAACCATTAGGTTGTGTGGCCTGTGAACATGTTTTTTTTTCAAATAATTGTTGAGTTAAAAAAGTTTGATTTACCAAACAATCAGTTCGTGTATAGTGCACGACTCCTTAATTTTTAGGTCACACTTCATGCAATCGATTATTATATGTAGACAAGAAAATCTAAGGTGTGGTGTTTAGCAGTGGATCATTAGGTTTTGTCTTACTTCTACTCTTCCCATCGTCCTACTCATTTTATCTCGCATGTGATCAAGAACGATTACCATATCCTTTATAGACAGTAGAGGTCTTGAAGACTAAAGAACTTGGTAACTCTAGCTTATAGTGAACTACCTTTTCAAACCTGTTGCTGTTCCAAGTGTTTTTCGAGGTTAAAAAATGTTTATAATGCTTTTTCAACGTGCTTTATAGATATTTATGACTGTCCTCTATTTAAAATTGAAGTTTAATGTAATTGTTGTGAATCCAATCATATTGGTATCTTATTTTTGAAATGGTGTTTTGCTTGAGGTGTTTGAGCAGCAGTTTTAACATGTCGGGCAGCAATTGTGGTCGGATTTTTTAAGGAAGTGAAGATCACACACTACTAATTGTGTATGTAACTTTTTCAATTGATTGAATGCACTCTACCAATGACTTTATTTGAGTAGTTTTCTTAGTTACTTTTACTTCCTTTATGTGTTTTTGAATTTAGGCCAACTGATTTTCAAAGATCCATCTCGTTTAGTTTAGCTGTTTTAATTCATGGCTTCATTTGCGGTTCATTATTTCGTCATTGGATTGATTTTAGCCATTGTGGGCACATTTTCTATAAGGTGAGGGCATCTGCCTAGGTAATTAAATTTCTGGCTCTGTTTTAAATCGTGGTTAATTTACATTTGTATGATCTTTAATAATAAGTAATTTGCGAGATAGCATTTTCACGTTTTAGTGTTAAATTTATTATTTAGGTTTTAATTTTTTCTCAGATTTCGGTGACAATACCTATAGGGAAAAAATTCTTTAATTCTCCAAAATACCTACTGTCTCACACACTGGTTTCCTCTAAGTAGTTGTATACTGAATATTTATTATTTATTTAAATACATAAATATTGGTACAAGGAGTCGGCAAATAGATATGCGCCACATAGATCATTCGGTTTGTGTGAGGGCTTGAATACTGCCCGGGTGCTCAAACCGAAGCAGGTGGTTTTCCTAGAGGGCCACACCCGGAGCCTTCGACCTAAAGTACTGATCCACAGTGCTCTGGATCAACATAAGAAGATGCATTCCTATGGAAGCCGGTGACCGACAATTGGTCTATACGCCATTTGTTTCCCTAAGATTCCGGAGCCTATGTGCACCACTGGTTTGGAACCAGGGTTTTCTAACTCCCCTGGGTGAATTCACCGTATCCACCAAATCAGTTAAAGCGCCGGACATTCGCTTTTCATCCTCTCAATTTCGTAAAAAAACACCGCCTCGAAATGCCAGTGAGTAGGACTTCCCTGGTAGTGGCACGTAGCCATGTGAGATCACTTTGATAGAGTGTGATGACTCTTCCCACTCTCGGCCGTACCAGGGCATTTTGAGGCTGTATACTAAATAGCATTATTAATAACCGAAATTCATTCTTTTACACTTCACCGTGAAGTACAGATAATGTTACAACACCAATTTTGCAATAGAGTTAATAATTTATGAAAACATCACATTCTCCCACAAAACAACAATTTGTCGAAAAGTGAGGATATAATTTAATTTTAACTAAGGTCAATAATTAGCAATCTAAAAGTCAAAGGTGTGCCAACAAACCAGTCGGTATGATTATAAAACCATTCAGTAACTTAGAATATTTCCATTTCTCATAGTTTCCAATGTTTTAATTTTCTGTTCGCTAAAATGGACTCGGGTGATGTATATTATTTCATATAATAGGCTATCAATTACGTATGTCATGTGGACGTTATTGATACTATATGTTATCGAAATAATTGAAATGAGACCTCTTATATAATATATATTAGTGTTAAAAATCATTTAACTCTTATCTGATATGGCAATCTATTAACACAGTAAATTCCATCGGTTTTGTTGAATATTGTTATTTATTCGAATTTCTTTTTTCTTCTAGCTACCTAATTTCGACATCAGAACAGCATGCGTCTATTATCTTCCCATATATAAGGTGAGCAATTTGTGGGGTATTAGATGTTTACATTTATATCTCATACATAGACTATGCTGCTTTTTACTTCCTATTTTTTGGTGCATTTTTCAGTCCCATATTTCGCCAATTTCTCTTCAGTTCGTTCCGTTTCTGTTGACTTGGCAGATATTTTGGTTTCTTTTGGCCCAGTTGCTTGTCGTTATTAGTCAGTACCTTTGGTGGTTCAAATCACATTTAGGTTTGGTTAACGTCTGGGTAACTAATTATCACATTCTGAAATGTACGCAAAATGAGTTGAATTTTTCACACAATATATTTTGAAGCAGCAAGAAATACAGAGGGAATGGTGATCATATGCACGGTAAAATGTCCAGTTTATCATGGGAAACCTATTTCTAGGATATGAATAACTTTTTATTCCTTGGGACATCTTTACCTGTTCATTGGTAATAATTTACGTTGGTCTGAACGTGTCATCCATTTCCATTAATCCATATATTTTATACTAATATCTAACTCTTAGAAAGCGACCATTAATTTCTACTGCTCTCCCTTTGTTTAACGGGATTTATTAATAAAGTTCTACTATCTAATTATGTTTTAACTTTTATCAACGAATGGTTTGGATATATTTTTCACAATTACCAAACTTAACTTTCTTGAACTATAATATTGTTTGCAGACAGATAGGATTTTGAATGTAAGACATAATGCCATTCTTCAAAGTACTAGTTGGTTTTGCAAATGTGTGAGGAGCTACAAGCCTTAACGTTTAAGTCTTCACAATATTAAAAATCAGTGGTCGGCGACTTGATAAATCATGCTAAATGTAATCAATGTAAAAATGAAGGTCCTTTTACTGACCGCTAAATTTATTAAAGCACGGATTGTTATGTCGGAAAAGGACCTAGATTGCTTGCCTAAGTTGTATTACGTCCACTGTGATACGGATGTATTCACGATAAAAACAGTTGCATGATCTCTCTTCCTAATCACTCATTAATTCACCGATATTGTCAGTTGGATCGGTGACCCGTCTAAGTACTATTTGAAAGATTGATCGAGGAGCAACAACCAAAGCCTTAACGTTTATTGGTCCTTGAGCTCCTAAACATTCGGCTAATAACAAGAGGAAGTTCGAAAGCAGACCCGTTCTCTATTGTACTCAGTTCAATTACAACTCAAAATCTTTACAGTAATGTACCTGAAATGTCTGACCGCACAGAAACACAATTAAAAAATTAGAATAACTTCGTCATAAATGATGCAAAACCAAAGTAATTAAAGAAAATAAGTAATGATGAATCTGGAATAATAAGACATGATAAAGATTTATGGATCGAATGGAGGCTTACAAATTAGAGAAGATAAAAATACAACATTGTAATCGTCTACTAATTATGAAGTAAAATTATAAATGATCCTTAATATATTAGTCCCAAAGGTTAAATTTCCGCACCATTCGCCTCGTTATATCATTTCTGCGTGACAAATAGGATAATATAGATGAAAACGGAAGATAATTGAACAAATGGCGTAGTCTATTTATAGTTATAATTACTATACATACTTTTAGTTCATAGCTATCTGATTTTGAACCTTGATGTCGTATTCGATTTCTTTACAGTTCTCGTTATTGTTAAAATATAAGGAATTCAAAAAATCCACTACTTTGGCGAAATTGATGCTTTAGCTATCAGAAATTTCATTTTTACTTGTTAGAAGATTACAGAAGGTATTTTTCGATCTAATTCATATATTTTAAAAAGTTTTTCAATAATTATAGGTGTGTAGTCCATATATTTACTATCCAATTGAGTTAACACTGTGTTCTTGAGAAGCTCCAATTATTCAATTTAAAATCTTTTATTATTAGACTGCACATTTCTTTCATGTTGTTCAGTGCTGATTGAATAATTAGTGTTTTTTTTATACCTGTACTTATTTCTTTCAGCGTTTACACTTTTAAATTTTCTACTGATTATTGATACTATGCTGTCCACCTTTTTTTGCTACTCTTAAACTAACTTACAACGAGATTTTGTGGTCTCAGCTTTGTTCCCGTGTATGGTCTTAACTGATCACTGTTAATAATAATCAAACCTCAACGAAAACGTTTTCCAGTAACCCTTAATTTTAAGTGGTTCTTCTGCTGATGAAAACATTATTTCCTAATTGATAAGTTTTCTAACTGAAAGCTTGAATCGGTTTCCTAAGTTCTTTTAATAACCCCAGTACAAATCTACACGCCAAATCCGAACATATTGAAAAAGAGCTAAGAGTGGTGATAAGAATTTGTTTCACTCCAAAAATAGTTCGAAATGATCTATTTCTTATTAGGTTAACGGTCAGATATATGTAAATTGAATTTGGTTGTATTTAGCAATCATAATCCAATAACTTACTATCCAAGCACATATTTACAATGTAACGTAACTAAGAATCTATAATCCTTAAGATGTGATGAATACATGTCGCATATGATTGGAAAGAAAATCAATTTCATATATCATTCTCATTTCAATTGATTAAACTATTACTCGCTATATCATTAATTAAAACTATGTTAAAGGAAATCATTTCGGAATCAACACTCCTCGTTTAACACTGCTTATGAATTATTTACTCGTTTATTTGTAATATTTAGAAATTTATTGTTTACAAAGCATTCACTTTATAATAATTTCAAATTAAATATTATTTCACTACATTTTATATGTAATTATTATTAGTAATTAAATTCCTCGTGAAGCAGGTTGCAGTACTCACGAAATAAAATATTGTAAGTAGTAGAAAGAAATTGAGTAATTTCATATGTATTCAGTTTTAAATTAACTCTGAAATTTTCACATATGGTTGCTTTCAAAGTTATCAAAGTATATAGTACAAAGGTCAGTTTTGGGTATCATTGTTATAACTCTTGTCTTCTTACGGTTAATGACCCAGCTATTCCTATTGCTTAGTATTCTCGGACACCGATTCACTCGACAAGTCCCCAAATCAAAACACGGTTGAACAGGAATAAGATTATATTCCAAATAGCAAGTCAGAAGCATAATAGGGAAAAACGTCAGTATATTTATAGTTTTTTACATAAGAAGATTCCAGAATATTCTCCGACTATCGACTGGTGCTGATTGGATAAGAATTAGCCAATCAGCGTGCACCAAAGCAATCATGCATTGAGCATGCTTTAATCTAGTCTATGTCCCGCTAACACCTCCCCTTTGAGCAGATTCGTAGGATCTGGTGCTAGGGTCCAACTGCAACCGAGTGACTGGCCTGTGCTTTCGATTAGTCCATCGTCTAGGCAATAGAGAAGTATCACTCTTTTCTTGCACAGAAACTGACGTGTCTATTCCCGGCGTTTTGATTTCAAAGGTGTCTAGCAGAACATCAAGAGGTAATCGATATTGAATCTTGTTGCTGGCTATCGAAGTTGCTTTCAATTGGTTAGCATGACGTACCCAAACTTCCGAGCCAACTGACACCTCGTAAACCACACTCCCCTTCTTTTTCAAGATCCGACCAGCTGTCCATGTAGGATGTTTCCCACGATAGTCCATAGCAAGCACTTTTTGTCCCACCGTGAACAATCGTCTTTGTGCCCCATGATGTCGGTTAAACTGATTCTCCATCGATAGGTTTCGTTGGGGTTCAATAGCTGGCGTAGGACGGATGACATCGAAATGTGTTCGTATCTTTCTGCCAAGTAGAGCTTCTGCTGGAGAGACCCCGTTAATTGTCTGAGGGTTCGGTGTAGAGCGATAAATAAACAGGAACCTCTCTAAGATATCTTCAGTGGTCCCTTCCCCTTTGGATTTTTTTAGAGCATTTTTAAATGTACTCACAAAGCGTTCCACTTGGCCATTTGATTGGGGATGGAATGGAGGTGTTCGGAGGTGCTGGATTCCGTTCTGCCGACAAAATTGTGAGAAGATTTCGGACGTAAACTGTGTTCCGTTGTCACTAACTATCAATTCCGGGATTCCAAAACGACTGAATAGTTGACGTAGTTTACTGACTGTGCAGCTTGCAGTCGGGTGTTCCATGAGAAAAATTTCTGGCCACTTGCTATATGCATCAACCACCAAAAGGTAAGTTTGTCCATGAAGTGGACCAGCAAAGTCCAAATGTATACGCTGCCACGGTAACTGTGGTATTGGCCATGATTGCAGCTCTGCTTTTCGCGGTGCTTTTGTTGCTAATGCACATTTGGTACACGAACGGGATAGCTGCTCCAGTTGGGTGTCTAAATGCGGCCAGTATACATAACTTCGTGCTAGTGCTTTCATGCGATTTATTCCAGGATGTCCTGCATGCAACTGTTCAAGCACTGCTGGTTGTAGCTTCTTGGGAATTATGACACGTTCGGCAAACAGCAGACAGTCATCGATGATTGAAAGAGAGAGTCTTCGCTGGTAAAACTGTTGAAGCTCTGTGGAACTGATTTTCGAGGGCCACCCTTCTAGGTGGAACTTTCTAACTTCTTGTAGTGTTGGGTCTCGAAGCGTTTCTTCCCTGACTTCATCTGACGACACTGGAGTGTTTCGAATGGCATCTGCCACTATACTTCGTATTTCTGGGTCTACTGCTGTGGAGGCAATGATTATATCCTCTGGTCCAGGATGTTGAACTCCAATTAATCGGGAGAGAGCGTCAGCTTGACCGATAGTATTTGTCGACTGATACTTGATATTAAAATCATAACTCAGGAGCATTGTTGCCCAGCGCTGTAGTCTATTAGCCGTATAGACAGGGATTCCTTTCTTAGAACCAAAGATTGCAATCAAAGGTTTGTGATCTGTCAGTAGAGTAAATGTACGACCATAGAGCATTTTATGAAATCTTTTGACTGCGAAAATGATTGCAAGAGCTTCCTTTTCAATTTGGCTGTAGTTTCGCTCGGCTGGAGTAAGTGATCTAGCAGCATGGGCAATTGTCTTTTCTGATTTATCCGGAAACACGTGAGATATCACTGCTCCAACTCCATGACTAGAGGCATCAGATGCAACAACAATTTCCAAGCTGGGATCGAAGTGCGTCAAAAGAATCTTTGAGCTGAGCATTGATTTGACTCTGTCAAAAGATGCTTGACATTCTGCTGACCACTGCCAAGGTTTATCTTTCGATAGTAATTCATTTAGGGGACCTCTCACTCGATGCATTTCAGGCAAGAATGTGCTGTAATGACTGATTAACCCCAAGAAGGATCTTAATGAAGAAACATCAGTTGGTGCAGGCATCTTCTGAATGGCTTCGATGTTGGCAGGGTCTGGTCGGCGACCGTTCTTATCTAAGATAAAACCAAGGTATTTGATCGAATGCATGAAGAAGATACATTTTTCCTCACGTAGTTGGAAACCATACTCCAACACTCGGTTAAGGACTTGGTGTAGTCGATCAGAAAGTTCACTGTCAGTTGAACCCATAACTATGATATCATCTAGATAAGCTGCTGTACCAGGTATACCTGTTAGCATCGTATCCATTATTTGCTGAAAGATGGCGGGTGCGGTCTTGATGCCAAATGGTAGACGGTGTATTGAAATAACCCTCGATGAGTGTTAATGGTCAGAAGCTCTCTACTATCTTCATCTACTTCCACTTGGAGATAAGCATCAGAGAAGTCTATTTTCGCGAAACATGTCCCACCATTAAGCTTGGCAAACAGGTCTTCAGGAACTGGTAAGGGATATTGATATACATCTAATGCAGCATTTAAACCGGTCGAGAAATCGGCACATATGCGTATAGTCCCATTGGCCTTCTTAATCACTACGATCGGTGCGGCCCATGCAGAGTAGTTAACTGGTCGGATTACACCAGCCTGTTGCAAGCGATTAAGTTCCTGGTCGACTAGCTCAAGAGCAGCATATGGTACAGGACGTCTCGGGCGAAAAATAGGTATGGCATCTGGTTTCACTGGTAAGTGCGCTTTCATCTTGGTACAGTGGCCAAGGCTATTCTGAAAAACAGAGGCAAACTTTCTTTTCAGTTTTTCTAGTAACCTTTCACCTGTCTTCTTTGGAAGTAATGGGGTGTCCAATGATGAACACGATACGTTACAGACACTGTTAATTGGTATATCCATTATTCCAAGTTTGTCTAGCATATCTAGACCAAGAAGATCAAGGTTCGGCCGTTCTGTTAGGTAACATATTCCTGTACAGTTAGTTCCATTGAAGGAAAATTCACACTGTAATTCACCAACCAGTTTTAGCACACCACCTGATGCGTTTTTAGCCGTTTTCTTAGATGGCTTCATTGGCGGTTTACCCAGCAAGTTATACGTTTCTCTAGACACTAACGTGATATCTGATGCCGTGTCAATTTGAAGACGAGCTGATATGCCGTTTATCTGGATGGTAACATACTTTCTCCGAATGTCATAGTTTGTTTGAAAAGCAGCTACCAGAGAAAGAGATTTAGACTCGGCTGATTTCACATGTCGAGGACGTTTATGCTTCTTCTTAGGCTGAGACGTACGCTTCGGTGGACAATGACCTTCTTTATGTCCACGTTTGTTGCACGCCTGACATTTATGCTTCTTGAACGGACAGAATCGTGCATAATGCCAATCACCGCATAACCAGCATGCAGTCCTTGGTTTGTTACGAGTTGTTACCGGCTTCTGAACTTTTAACCTAGTAATAGTATTTACACTACCGCAGGTTAAATTAGGATTTACCTGTTCAATCAACTCGTTGTCGTGTCTGATGCTTTGTAGACGCTTACACTCATCTGTCAATGTTCTGAGTGTGACGTTTGGGTCTTGATCCAGTCGAGCTAAAAGTCTAGTCCTGATCTCAGCATCTTGTGGTGACTGAAGAGCTTTGATGAATATTAAGCATTTAAATTGGTCATCAGTCAACGAGCGTAACTTGAAACGTTCACATTCTCTGTTGACAATGTCTGCTAGAACACCATATTCATCAGCTTCGCGTTTCACCAAATTTAGACACCGATATCGAATACTAAACAACGAGGATGACTCGCCGAATATCTCTGACAACTGAAATACCGTCTCCTCGAAACTGAGCTCTCGAGGTAACTTTGGCAATATATGGTCAGCAAAACGTGCATGTTCACTGCTTCCCAACTTACGTACCAACAATCGGGTCTTCCACGCATCGTCTTGGTTACAGAATTCTGTTCTAAATGTATCTTCCCAACGTTGAACCACGTGAGAAAAGTATTTCCACTTTCGGGATCATAGATGAATTCTGGGATGCTGCTAGCAACTGCATCACAAGACGTACTTAAAATAGCATGTGAACTCGAGCTGTGGATGTTGAGCTGTTGAGTCAGGGTCTCTAACAACCGCATTTGTGCATCAAGTTGTGCTTGCTGTTGTTGTAGTATTCGGTTAAGCTGGTCATCTGATATAGGCATCTTGAATTTGTTTTCCTTTTTCCCCGTCGCCACTGTTATAACTCTTGTCTTCTTACGGTTATGACCCAGCTATTCCTATTGCTTAGTATTCTCGGACACCGATTCACTCGACAAGTCCCCAAATCAAAACACGGTTGAACAGGAATAAGATTATATTCCAAATAGCAAGTCAGAAGCATAATAGGGAAAAACGTCAGTATATTTATAGTTTTTTACATAAGAAGATTCCAGAATATTCTCCGACTATCGACTGTTGCTGATTGGATAAGAATCAGCCAATCAGCGTGCAGCAAAGCAATCATGCATTGAGCATGCTTTAATCTAGTCTATGTCCCGCTAACAATCATGTAACCGGAAGTTTATAGATGTAATTAAGTTTTAGACATAGTTATTTAACCTTTAAAAACGTAAATATAACTACGCCACTACAATTGCAGAAGTTTTTGGTGATTAGTGAAAACCTCTTCTTACATAAGTTGTTCTATCGCAGCAATTTTTTATTGTCTATAGGATTGAAAAAACAATTATAACTTATATATGTTTGTTATTTTGCTTGACTACAGATTTCTAAAACAAGTACTTTATATTGAAGTTAGATTAATATGTTCGCATAATATTCTGATCCACTTATCTATTCACGTTTCATAGCGACTGATCATTTCAATCAAACGAAATTTATGTAACGTCAAAATGTAACCCTGATAACTTCTTTATTATTTACAGACTAGTATTTGATATTTGTTTATAATTATAGATAAATGAGTACTATGTATTACTCTACATTTCATAAATGGTAGCTTTCTAATCTGTAATCCGTTAGTGTGATTCATTTGTTTACCTATATTTCGTGAATCGTTTTCATACTTTCATTTGGATTTTTGCGTTTTTCATGTAAAGCGATTCTCTTAGACTTTTTAAATTAGCCGTTATGTTTTTAAATTTTGTTTTGTAACTCAGTGATACTGGTGCTCTACCGCCTGAAAGCTGCGTATTTGGTCAACTGCTCAATATATGTTCGTTTCTTTGTAAGTTGTTATTATATCTTTCGTTCAAAACGACAGGTTTACTGAAAATGTATATTATTTAATGGTGGCGTTTTCTTTGGTTGTTTTTTTGAAGTTTGAGATTTCACTGCAATTATTGATCAAGATTTTATTTCTTTTGAAGTATTTGAACGAAGTCGATTCCAAAACCTGTCGTTAAGTAATTTACAGATTATAAAGCTTTTTTCAGAAAATTTGTTTTATAATTAACACTAAGGGAAGTTTTAATTAATGTTCTCATCAGGATAAAATAATTGTTGTGTTTCATTCTTTCAGACGTTTGTTAATTATTTGTCTGTTAGTCAATTGAATCACATTGGACTGAATACACTAGCTAAGCTTGTTTGTTCACATTACCTAATCCGATTCGCTGTTTTTTGACATCAAGACATTTTGTGCTTGCACAATGCACTTCATTCAATTTTCTGTCTGAACTTTTTAATTGAACTACTTTACATCAAAATAACTCTATCATAGAAATGTAGTGTGTTGTTGAAAAGTAACTACCTTTCACAAAATCCGAAGAAATTGTTATGTTCGAACAAAGAATGAATGACTGGTTACTTCTAGGAATTATTTATAGACTATTATTATATAAATATCCATATTTATATTTTTTCACAAGCTTTCATTTGACCTATTGGCTATTGTTATACGATTTACTATTCTTAAGTTATTACCAATTCGTTAATTACAGCCTCTCACACACAGTCACTTTTGGCTTAATCTTGTGTTATAGTTATTGAATATCTTCTGCGGATAGTGGTGTTGCTCTCTTGGAGCTTCATTTTTATAAATTTCGAGACTCGAATTTAATTCCGAAAAATCACACTTCTAGTGGGTCAGTACCATATAAATATTATGTGTTTACCTAGACAACTCTCATTTTAATATGCATTAGTGGCAAATGTCGTTTATCGTTTTGCTTAATCTCTCAATTGCTGGTAATGAGAATAGTAGGTGAATAGAAATATATCAGTTCTGAGTTAAAAACTACTGTGAATCATATATTCATTTCGACAGTTGAGATCATGAGTCAACCAACTAGTCGGCTAAGCGCCTGGCGCGAGACTGATAGGTCCTGGGTTTGAATCCCGCGAGGCGGGGTCGTGGGTGCGCACTGCTGAGGAGTCTCACAATAGGACGAAACGGCCGTCCAGTGCTTCCAGGTGTTCCATGGTGGTCTAGCTTCAATTGACTCATGATCTCAACTGTTGAAATTACTACAATCTCCACAAAACCCCTTCTGATACTAATAATGTAGTTGTCCAGCGCGTGAAAGTAACTCCTGCATCATAAACTAATAAGTCTCACGAAGGTCATAAAACAATGTGATTTTTCTATGACTCCGTAAGTGTGTTTTTTACTTTTTGTTATAAAGTCGTTGGTTTGAGCTTGTAGATTTCCTGTTGCTTTATCACTGACTGAAATTCAAATTTGTTTCACTATCTGGTTCATCATTCATACTAATGTAAGTAATTGCCTATCGTGAATTCATTTATATTCACTAAGCTTCTCTGATAGTTGTTTACTGCATCGTAGGTACTAATCATTCACAAATACTACTTCAAAATTAGCTGAATTTTAACTCGTAATGGTTCTTCAGTAAAACTATCGGTAATAATTAATTACTTGAATAAATTCATGATGTGGAGTATGTCTCATTTAACTGTCACTAGTATGTTATTTAATCTGATTTTCTAAATGAATCAACATAATACTGACTGCATATCTCAGTTGCTTCTTGTCTTCATATCATTTATCTTTCGGTGAAAGATATCTTGCATAGGATTACACAGCTTATTCTGCTTAGCATACGTTCTAAAATCTTTTTAATACTCGAGATTACATTTCTTTTGTTTGTCGGTTTTCAAATAGTGCTATTTACTTAAAGTAATAAAGTACTATCACTTTATATTTCCTAATTTTCTTAAACTTCAGTGAGTTTTCCTTCCCAAATTATGCTACCTAACACCTTTTAATCACTTTTGCCTGTTTTTTAGTGTAGTTCCAAACTTCATATATGTAACTTGGCATTTTTCTTGTAGTCACTATAATATATCTGTTTCTCTTATTACTTGTTTTTGAAACAATGAACCCCCACAATTCTCACGATGAGGAGTAAGAACACCAAGACTCATAAAAGTGAAGATTTATTAACCTCGAAGCACGACGAAAAATTTAGTCGAAAATACACTTGTTTATGTATTGATTTGTACATACATTTGATAATTAATAAGGAAGAAGTTATGTATATGAAGTGATAGCAAAATTACACTCTGTATGTCATGCTGGACATAGTTCATATTATTTTAATGCAAAGAATATCATAAAATTCACGTGGTTTTGTTTGCTTGAATCTTCTCATTGACGTTTAGGACTGCAATTGATCAGTCTCTTATTGGCATATATGCATCCTGTGCGAATTGCCTCGATATTGCCTTAATTCACAAGCATTATAAGCAAAAATGTATGGCGGCTGTTATAGATAGTTAAATCCTCGAAAACAGTTCATAAGGCTTTTTGAAATTTTAAGTGACAATATAATCCCAAGTACTCCAAGTTTTATATCGTGTATTTTACTTATGCTAAGAGCTTTCTTTTTAGTGGCTTCTTCTCATGGACTGTTTTACCACCATATTTCGAAGGATGTGGAAAATTACGTGGTATAGCTGTTCAGTTAATTAATGTTCTTAGGTGGATCCAACAGGTATTACAATCACGAGTCAACCTTTTACCTGTAGATTTGTCTTAGATTAGGTGAAGGATCCTTCACCTTCTATTGTCTATCAATATAGTTTTCCTCAGCCGTCATATTTATTGTGGATAGCTGTCTAGCGATTGCAAGTAGATTTAACTTCGAAATAATACTCAAGAAAACTTACTGGTTTGTCGTGTAAGTGTACAGTTGTTAAAGTGAGCCTTTTCAGTCTTAATAAACAGAGTCCACATAAAATGATTACTATTCTTCCACATTACTTTATTTGTGTTTTATTGTCATTCAGGCTGCTTGTATTTGTTTATTTTCTTTACCACAGCTTTCGTATGTATTTATTGTTGGTATCTACATGAGCGCAATGTAATATACGCCCTTGAAGGACCTAACTCTCATATTGTTTTTGCACGTATTACTTGCATCGTTGGCTGTCTAAGCGCACTGGGGATGTCAATTGTGGCTAATTTCCAGGTATTTAATTTTTGTTGGTGTTTTTGTTCAGTATATCAGATTGTGGAATGCATAAAGGCTACAAAAGTTAGATGTGACTGTTTTGAATAGCCTGAACAAAGCATGGTGGGATCGTGGGAAATAGGATTTTATCAAATTATGTTTCTTCAATCAAAATGCATACCGTCATTGCAATGCATTGGGTCGTAAAGACGGATATTCACTGACGCACCAGTTTTATGTTTGAGTTTACTTGATATCCATCGAATAAAAGAATCGGGAAAGGGGAAGTACATCGCCCCTAATAACCAACCACTAACCTGCACGCCCACAGGTAAACTTAGAGGCTCTTGTAACCCATATATCACAAAAAGTTGTATTTTACTGAGAAAAATTTCGGCGGAACTGCCTAAAAGAAGTTTGTAAGCGTTTCTGGAGTTAACTTGGCATTGTTAGGTAAATTTAAATCTAGCTAGTCGTTCCAATAATCGCTCACTAGAAAATACTTTCTCATTGCCGCTAATCGAAACTTTCTAAGTCCCGACTGGTTTGATAGTATACTTTTAGCCAACATGCCTCTTGGTTCCACATTCAATAAAGTCCAATCCATTATATCTGCAGCACACTCAGATGAACTACTACTGATTTTTCCGAACTAGATATGGTTCATTACCAAATTAATAAATGATTATTATCATTACAGCCTAACGCGTCCCCTCTGTTTCGATCCAAAAGCACCGTTTTATGTGCGTCCTTAATGAAAGTCATTGAGGGACTTACATAGTGATAATATCATGGCTTCACCACTTCTATCCCTTACTCAGCCTGGGCGGCGCTTAGTGTCATTATAAGATCCTACATCATAACGGTGACGAAGGGATAAAAAGCCGATAAGTTATCGATTATATTAGATAAGAGGAAACCATTATGCATTCAGTTAACGTAATCACGAACAGAACTCAACCAAGTGCTTCATAATGAGTCGAAATCTGGATACTATCCACTAATTATTAGTGCAAGACCAAATGTAGTTCAGAGTGAACGCATCATTGCCGAAGTTACCACTTCATGCAACAACATACGTGTTGCAAGTACTGCGGTCAGGAGTTTTCTAGAAATTCTTTCGTCAGCACTCAATTAAAGTTAAAATGAGCAAACAAGGGTATTATACAGTAGGGGTACATTTAATTTAATTAAAAAACTGGCAAAGACTTCTAGTTAAAGAGGTCCATTCCTTTTTATGAAAAATGTAAAATAAAACTTCAACAGGATTTTCATAGATTTCTATTCTGGTACATGTCCGATGACGTCATAGGCCACTAATTTGCACCATCTCTTGGACCCCAATCAAATGATTATGATGGACCGGCCGATGCCTCTCCTGTACAGCTTTTTTATATAACGTCATTACATATATATATCAAGTCATAAAGTGACCGCCTCTCATATTTTTAGAACCAGCTCCAGAGACCGAAAATGATGCTCCATGTGGAAGCCTGACATATCACCACAACAAACAGGTATATGCACAGATATCTCTCAGTCCTCCAGAAGTGCTTCGAATTCGGCCTCGAAGTACATAACATACATACGGATATCGATTACCTTTTGATGAGGTTCCATCTGTAGAGGTGTATCATCGCATAGTAAGGCATCATCATCTGTCTACTCGAAGTCAGAAGTTTTATCTCTAAGTTTGGATCCATGATACCACCACTTTCTCCGTTTAGTAGTACTGCCAAAATGTCATGAGTAGGAACGCTGCAGAGGAGTGGTTGAATTTGATAATCCTCCCCACCCTATTGCTTGAGTGAACGATAGAGAGAGGTGGTTGTATACCCTCACATTGCCTAAGTTGTTTGTATGAAGACCCTTCGAAATGCGGATAAACTTCCCTTGCACACCTTTCCTCCACAGATAACATTATTTTTCAGTCCTGTCCAACGAATTGAATGTTTTCAAAGTGATTTCATACTTTGCAAAATCTGTATGGGCAAGAATCTATGGTTATCGTTGAACTCATGACATGCCTGAGTAGACTAGCTCGCTTCCATAAGTTTTAATGAGCTTTCAAAACGTCAGTGCTCATAAACGGAAAGTTCATTGTTGAAGTTTTTGAGCTGTTAAAAAATAATGATGAGAGGTTCTATGTATCTTCATTTATTAAATATCAAGATCCTTTTACTTTTTATCTCATTTTAAATTATTACTGTTGTCCTCTTCCTGTCCTGATATTAGTTATCGTTGATTCAACGGTAGACGCATATTAATTCTGTCTAAAAATAATGATACTATCGAAAATTCCGACTATATAGATATATTATTCAAATTGTCTGTAAATGAGAAATATTGCAATCAACTAATTTGTTGTATTCAAGTTGGTCGCAGTAGTTATGACTTGATTGTTTTACAATACTATTATTAAAAGCATCATTATTGATGCAAGTTATACGTGTCAATATATGTGTTTCAAGTTATTAAATGTATATTTTACCTGAATTTATTGGTTTTCATTGACCGTTAACTGCACATACATATATCCTATAAATGAAGTGATTTTGTACCTGACACTGGATCTCTTTATTTTTAGTATTGTTATATGATGTAATGTTTTTTTAAAATTCAGAAGTAGATTGCATGTTTCAGTTTCATCATGTGTAGATTTTGATGGATTGTTGACATTTTGAACTCAACTAATATACAATGAATTAATTTTAAATGTATTTAGAAGATCATTCATGATTGTAAAATTTGTGTCGTTATTATTCGTCTTAATCTAGATAATATGTCACTCTAAGAGTTGTCTAAAATAATTAATAACTCTAGAGTATCGAATATCATTTATGTCAGTGAATTTTGGTTTGGATGTAACTTCAACCGAAATTTCTGAATAAGATATCTGAAGAAATGGAAGTATTTAAAATGAGCTCGTTAACTAGTTAGCTTAATCCAATTCAGGAAATTCTTTCCCAACCAATGATTATTGAGGAATTTCAAGTAATTAATGAATGGACGACGATTTACTAAGGGTACTCTCAACATTTCCGTGGTACCACGTTCTCTCCAACACTTAATCGTGCCATTACATAGTATTCTGTCCTTTAAATCCCCTTAATTTAGACGATCATATGATATTACCAACTTCGTGTGAAATAATCGCTTTTGCGTCAGAATCTTAAATAAATTAGTGACCGATTGTCAGATTCAATGGTTTATATGGTAAACAACTGCCACCCTAGTTGGCATGATTTGGATATTACTTTAAATGCTTCATCTACTTATAAGTAGTTTAGTTTAGGTTAGACGATTTTTTTTCTCCATATAACATTTGGTTAATTATATTTTCGTTTTGTTTTAGGAAGCATCTTTAATAGTTGTTCATTTAATCGGTGCAGTGATGACTTTCGGACTGGGCATCGTATTTTCAGCATTAGTCACCTATTCTACACGTAGACATTTGGAATACAATTTCAGGATATATGTATTCCGTCTGTTTTTAACTATTTGTGGTTTTCTCGCGAATCTGGGAGGTGCGTATGATTTTAAAGTTTTACTATTAGATCGATCTTTATTTTCATTTATACTATTTCATTGCCTCGGCTAAGTTGCACACAATGAATGGGGTACATGTGTATACACACATCTAACATAAACATTGATAGGTTTTACTTATAACTTTGCTTTACACTTATTTTTTCATTTAGCTTAAAATTATTTTAAAAAATTCTGTTGACTATCGGTGGTTGTGATTAATTTCTCCAGTTTCCCTCAGACGATAAATTCAGCAAGGTTTTTTATCATCTGATGAGTACACATCTAACTTGTTTCAAAAATCCACTCGGAATCAACTCAATTTTTTTCTTGCATTTCCGAGTATAAATCATTATTAGTTTGCTTGTATAAATATTTGTGACACAGTCTGACAAAATGAAAGTGTATAATTCTTAGGACAAGAGTTCTCAGTATTTGACAGTTCTGATAGAGTCACTTATTTTATTTACTCGTACAGTATCAAAGAAGTGTTACTGTTTGCATTGTATATATTATTCATTACAACTGTTAACTCAGAAAAAAAGAAATTCCTAGGATCGACTTTCAGTCGCCTTGTCTTTTTTTTTTTTGCAACGAGCCATATTAATTTATGTGTTATTGTTTTTTTTCATTAATTCTAGTGTTCATTTTTGGGCACTTATCTGGGGGAATCCACGGTCCATTCCCTAGAAAATGGGATCCATCTGAAGCGGTAGGTTTATTTCGTTGCTAAAACACTTTATATATATATATATATATATATATATATATATATATATATATATATATATATATATATACGGTCTTAGGGTATAAATGTTTTATTTACCTTATTATTATTGGTATCATTTTGGGAATTTTTTTCTTTATGAATAATGATATTAAGCTGCTGTTATTAAGTTATTGTCGTATAATTGTTAATCAACTTATCAGTTTTTAACTAATTTGTTTTATTTCACTCAACAATAGTGTTTCTTTGTTGGGATCTCCTTCATTGTAACACTATTGAATCAAATCATTCTTGCCTACTTTACGTGTATTTAGATCTCCCTCTTTATTTTCCTACGATGTGTATTTTGATTTATGACTGCAAATAGTTTCTTCAGTTATTATGAATGGTTTCATAATGTTATTGTTCATTCAGTTGATCACATATGTAATAATTGTTTACACTTATTATACACGAAATCACACATTATTCTGTTTATCATCCAATTATTTCCTTTTCTTACAGGTATATTATAGATGTAATTATTATCAAGTTTTATTTGATTTCTTTTTCCATAACTTCTGATCATCTGATGAAAAAATAGCACTTAGGTAATTGATTGTGATCAATGGTAAATAAAAAAACTAATTGTTGTTATACAATACAGTAATTTATTCTGTATTGCTTAATTTATTGATCCTATATTCAGTTATACCGCACAGCTTTATGATTACATTAATCTAGACAATTTATTCATGTCGATTACAACAGAATTTGTCGACTGTATAACTGAAATCCAAATTACTAAATTACACTGATGAATCTGAAATGATATTTAGTTTGACAGTCGTGATTCTATTTAAACAAAGTATATTTTTGCATAGATTATTGTATGTTTTTGAAGTACTCTTACCTACTGTTTTCCGCTTAGTTTTATCGTACTGATCAAAGATGTCTTCGTTGTAATTTTCATTAATACATGTCAAATAAGCATGCCCACAACCAGAAAATGCATCTTTATATTGTTTGTTAACATTTAATTAAGGTATGATTATGTAAGTGTAAGCGACCTGCTTCAATATCTCGGCTACCTGTTCGTGCCACTTAATATTTCAACAAGCATCTGTTTCCTTGTTTGTCTTAACTGATCATTATATCAATTAATTGTATAACTTATTCAGGTGCGTTTGTGAAAAGTTTACGACCTTTTGCCGTACAAGTTAGAAAAACGTATAATCGGAGACATCGTGATGACCGGCCATATGCATTGAAAAGAATAAATATTATTTAGATGTCGACTTCTGAAATGCTAGTATCTAACTGGGGATCACTCAATATTTATTGTCAATATCGATCAAGAAATAAAAAACAGAAACTCACTTAAATACTTTGCGTTGAAAATTCTATATCGTACCAAAAATATAATAGAATAAAACTAATAATAGATAAATTACAAGATTGCCTATAAGTGGCATTTAGCGGAACTTCTCTTGGGAGTTGCTACACTTAACAGCTGAAGAGATTTAGGGAGTCAATAAGCATGGCTTACGCACAGTACTTTGCAGATCATAGAAGCTAGTCTATGAAAAAGTCTAAGAAGACAGTCTATGATCAAGATCCAAATGGATAACTGAAGACTAAGTAATACATATTGCATAAACATTCTGGATCCTTTTCTGAACAACCGTGTTATGATATAAACAGGACTATATTAATACATTACTCTACGTTATATAGCTTTTGTAGTAATTTTAATGTTTCACTTTTTAGAACAATATTGTTTCCGTTTAGATCCTCATCAGGCTTTACTCTTATATACAGTAATATTTATATGCATATACGAAATTATTAAACCAATCAAGGTAGTTTATGAGTCAATGATAACAATGAGAAAGATTACATAATACGTGAAAAGTCAGTATCTGGGAAAGTTCAATAACATAGAAATGTACTTATATCTCATCAATATTACATTTTATTTTCCTTTATGTAGGGTTTCAAATATCATGCATTGAGTAGCTTTTGCGAATGGTTAATGTCCTTCACCTTCTTACTGTTTTTCGCTTCTATGATATTTGAACTGAGAACTATGAGTTGGAATCGGTTAAAGTAAGCTTTTACTATTGTCATTATTATCTATAATCGTAACATTTACTTTATGGGGCAATGTCTAATAAGAACAAATATGCAGAACTATCCTCGCGACACTCACTATCAAATTTTGCAAGGTTGTTGTTACGACTAACGTATTCTCCTGATATAATGCTCAATTACATTTTCAATAAATTTAAATGATACAGGTGTGATTTCGCAATGATTAGAAAATTGTATTTCTGACGTTTCGTGAATTAATCCTAGTCACTTCTTCAAAGTCGACAAATAAAATTCATTTTGTTCTAAAATAGTGTAGTGGTCATTTGATAAACTGAAAGTTCATCATGGTTGTTCACGTTGTTCAGTATACCTAGAAAACCTAGGTATTCTTAACAATACTGAAACTTATAAGTAATAAAAATTTAAAGTTCTGGAGAAATAAAAACTGAACCTGTTCATTATATCCTCGGAATGGCCACTATTATTATTATCATTATTGAGTTTTCAGTCCATTTGCTTTCTTTTAAGCAACCCCAACTAATTGAATAAGAAAAATAAGTCATTTATCTTAGTTAAGATTTAGTGGCCCCTATATCTGACTCCGATTTGATCGTATGGATGGTTGTTATCGAAATATACATGCCGCCAATTCTCGTTTATTATTATCGAATTAATTCGCGTTAGTGAATAACGGGATTAAAATAAGTAAAACACGAGAATAGATTTCGAATACGTATATTGCATACAATCGTTGGTCCAGACAGACGATTAGAGAAACGAAATGACGCGCAGTGGAGAAGGCGAGTGAACCAACTCGTAAACCGATATTTATAGTCAACACACATGCGATCATAAAAGTCAGGATTAACACGCGAATTACTGACAGGGAGAAGAAACAGACTGACCTGTCTAGAGGCCAAAATAACCTATGTGGGTTTGACATACTACAAAGATTCTACAGCATTTAACACCCATTGTTTATAATACTTTTGATTTACAATGCCTAGTCTAGTGTGCTGGTTATACAATTACTATCATTATAGTTAGATGTAAACATAGACCCAGTATTATTAATTCACACTTTTTTGCCAGTAATTTGTTTATAATTCATTATTACGATCATTCTATCCAATGCTTACACTACACCAGTTAACTGGCAAAATATGTTTGGATTATGATTTTAAGTTATTGATTTTGATACAAACTTATTAATATTGTGGACGATGATTCCTAACTGTCTAATTAATTTCCTTTTTTTATATTAGATAAGGCGTATAGTTATTGCGCATGAAAACAATGAACAAACACCTCTCCTCGCTTAAGCCATCACTTTCTGTTCTTATGTAACTATAACTCAGTGAATAAGAACAAAGTGCTTTAATCCATTTCATTAGGATTACAATTTTTATTTAACTTGATACACGATGTAATCTATTTCTTAATGTTGATTTTGTAATTTTTTCTACTTTCATCGAACGAATTTAATTCGATAAAATATTAAGCCTTCTGTATTTTGTTGGGCAAAAAAGAAAATAAAACAACCACCGACACGTCAGAATCTAATTGTACTTTGAAAATTCCTCTTCTGATTTAGCGATAACTTAACTTCTAGGTCAATTACATGTTTTAGTAATCAGTCTTGAAGCTCACAGTTTGTATAGATCAGTAATACTACCCAGCAATCCGAACCGAAATTTTTGACCTTTCTGTGAACCTGAGACCAAATGGCTAAAAGATTTGCTGTGACATTTACTTATTAAATGACACTCGTGATTTCATTTTCAAGTTTGGTGAATTCATCTCCCATACATCAATAAACCTACAATACAGTGTTTTTTACATTTTGAGTAATGAAAAATCTAAACACAAAACGTTTGGATTAAAGCCGTGTATTTGAACATGTACATAATTACTACACAATGATTAACATGTGTAACAGTGATAACAGGTATAACATTGAAATACACTATCCTACATGAGTATTTATTTGGTAATTATTAGACGTTAACTTTGTAATAGCAGTAGACCGAAATACATGAAGAATTTTTTTTTAATATCTTCAAATTCACAAATAATAGAATCATTTCACTTGTATTCACAAGTATACAGTGTCATAGACTAGTCTACTAAATGTGTCATCTATTCCTGGAACGATCTTTCTCTATTTTAACTTTTTTACATCATAATATCACTACAAAACAACAACAAACTTGATAAAATTAATTTTTCTTTTACTTTCATCATGGAATTATAATGAGATAGTTACAGTTTATATGATGATTTCATGAACAAGCAATAACCAAATCTGGAATAAATTATTTCAGTTAAAACAAAATGACAAGTATACACGATTTCTTTTAATTAAAAAAATGGATTAGTTAACTATGTCAATATAATTTCATAAAAAGTTGGTTATAAATGATCTTTTAATTCAATAAAGAAATCTTAAATATGAAAGAAAACAGTGGATAGATAAGAGATATGACTCAAAATTCATCTCCTATTTAACAGTAGCTTAAATCTAGAAAAAAAACATGATTCTAGGAAAGCATATTTTCATCATTATTATTACCATAATTATCATCACTTATTATACTCCATCGATGAACAATCTATAAAGATGAATAAAAAACAAATTTCAGTACGACTGACACGTAAATTATATACCACACAAGCACTATTATAATAGCTAACTGATACAATCTAGTTAATTATAATTTATCCAACTTTATAATAGAATAACGGTTTGATAATCGAATTCAAATAACCTAATCAAAGTTTCATTTCGACGGTTTTCTTTTTTTTTTTGAAAAAAGCTCTCACATAGTTTTTTAATACATTAAGTCGTTTTTTTCCTCTGTCACTTGTAGTTATTTCAAACAAGACACTGGTTGGTTAAAACTTTTTTGAGAAAGTCAACTGAGTTCCAAGATGAAAAAAGTCCGCTTGTGTTAAAATGGATGTCTAATATATTTTGTATCGACTCAATTAGGAAATTATCTTAAATGATTGTACTTTAAACTATAAATCCTTATGCAATAAGCTTGTAATCGACACTTCGTGGAAGCGGAGGCTTTAACTAATCTTTTTCTTTAAAATACTGAATAAATTTTTTACACATCCACTAGTGCAATTCAATATGCTGAAACAGTAATAGACTGCGTAGCTGTTTATCATTCAATTTTTGGGAGTCGAATAATTTGCCGCAATCTGTCCATGAAATAAAATCACTATTAATTGTTTGCTGTATCTATGGTCTGAATTTTCTTATACCTTTAAGTATATCCCATCCTACTAGTGAACTTATATGAACATTAAGAGTTTGATCGCTATTGACACGATTCCACTCGTTTAACTTACCTAACTGAAAATAGTTTACACATACAGCGTCCCTGGTACTTACGCCTGTTACTCCCAATAAAGCGTAAGCCGCCGACCAGCGTTCTCCAACCCACTCTGTCCTGGGCCTTCTTTTCTAATTCCATCCAATTCTTGTTCATTTTTCTCATGTCTATTTCCATTTCCCGGCGTAATGTGTTCTTTGGTCTTCCTCTCCTCCTTTGGCCTTGAGGATTCCATGTGAGGGCTTGTCTTGTGATGCAGTTGGGTGCTTTCTTCAATGTGTGTCCTATCCACTTCCAGCGCTTCTTCCTCCGCTGGGATCTGGTTTGTTCTTTCCCACAGTTGGTTGTTGCTAATAGTGTCCGGCCAACGGATCCGAAGTATTTTGCGTAGACAACTGTTAATAAACACCTGTATCTTCTGGATGATGGCTTTCATAGTTCTCCAAGTTTCCTCCCCATACAGTAGAACTGTCTTGACATTTGTATTGAAAATCCTGACCTTGGTGTTGGTTGAAAGTTGTTTTGAGTTCTTCAGTTGTAAATATTCTGCTCTTGCTTTACCGATCCGCGCTTCACATCTGCATCAGACCCACCATGTTCATCAATGATGCTGTTCAAATATGTAAACGATTTACATCTTCCAAATCTTCTCCATCAATTGTGACTGGATTGGTGTATGCTGTGTTGTATCGGAGAATCTTACAGCGTCCCCGGTATACTAAAATAATTTAAATAATATCTAGCCCGGACAGTGGATCACTAAACAAAATGGCACATGCATACCAATAGATCTGTAATGGAAATTATTACTGTTGCTTCTTGCTTTGTTTATTTTATTATCTCTACTGATAAGATTATTATAATCATTCCGCTCTGTCACTGAAAATGACCTTGAACACACTTCACGCATTAACAGGATATACACTTACAAAGGAATAATGGTAGAAAATTGATACCTTGTGGAAAATGTACTACCTAAACAATTTTTAGCCATAACAATTCAAACAATCGAAGATCATATATAGCTCCTTTATGTTCAACATTGCTGCCCATATCAAACTGATCATGTCTATAAACTGGTAAAAATTCCTGTGACCTTCAGAAAATTTATTCATTTTCATCTAGACTTCTTGAAGATGTCGGATTGTGCAAGATATGTGGTTTGATCGCGAGACTTTCAGTTTTTTTTAAAAAAAGCATCATTTATACGATATTTTGAAAAGGAGCAGACTTTTACAACTTATTCTGCTTACATCCTGTCTGATTGATTGCTGTTGAGATATGTCACAGTTTGAATGTAACATTTTCAAACACTTTTTCTTCCCCTAAACAACGAACCTCAGGTCTAGACTCACGTGTTATTTAAGTGAAATTTATTCCACCTTCTTCAGTGAAATTTGATGAGGTTCCATAAATCTAATTGACGCTATGGAATAAATTCCTACTAATTGTAATGTATAGTGTTTGCACATGTATAATTTGTGATTGGTACAAACTATACTCGCAATAAAATCATACAAAACTCTACAGCTGTAGTTTTATGGGTATAAATGTATCATTATATTTCGTCAGTGTATTCGTCTAGCATAGTTGAGTTGGTCATATATTTCGATCCCATAAAAATATTTCTGTGTTTGAGAGTTTAAGACAAATTAAAACAGAAATATCATTGACAAAAATTATTCACTTGGTTTGCTCCATATAATTCAAATGACTGAACATATATACGTTTAAGTAAAACAGCTCTATATTATTTCTTTACGTACAGATACTACTTCTAAAGATTTTAAGAGAATTTAGCTTTTTGATTACTGTTTCAGTAAAAAACCCATTAATACTGTTATTAGGGACAATAAATGACGTACCTTTATTTCATGTACTTTGTAATCTTTCAATTCCCATACCAGTGTAAAAATAAAGCATATAAATGATAAAGCTGTAATCCATTCCGACATACTACTTACTACATGAAACGAATAACCCTATTAGGAAATAAAAAAACAAACAAATTGAATAGATTGATACCAAAGTTCATGAAATGTTATTTTATCAAAAATAAAAGTAAGATTAAACTGAAATAACCTTATTAATCAATTATAACATAGTAAAACTACATATCTTATAAACAATTATCAAGTATTCATAATTTATAGCTAAATTAAATATTATTATTTTGTACTTATAATTAAATATCATTATCAATAATAATGAAAAATCTGACATTAAATTGTTACACTAGATAAACGTGACTAATTACCATGAAGTTTCTAGACAATGTGAAGCTACAAATCATTAAACTCAATATATACTTCTCAGTTCCGAATGTTGAACACAATCACATTAAGTTATCGAATCAGAATCTAATGGTTAATACTTATAACTTTAGTAAGTGTGTATTATTAAAGATAAAGGCGAATACGTACACTAGGTTTGTGAATGTATCATTCCATCTAATAAATCGTAGTTACAGAAACTTAGAAGTTTACATTAATTTTAGTGACTGAATAATGAATGTAGACCCTAGTGCAAATGATGAATCCATGCGATAATGACTCTGAAGAAAACCTATAGACATCTCAGTGTCAAAACAAATGTACTCAAGCTCCATAGAATGCTTTATGATTAATTTATACTAACCAAAGCATGTGATAAGAAAAATTAAACGGTTTCTCTCTGTATTTAATTGAATACTTTAAGTGTGAGATCTAACGATACAGATCGAGAATAATACAACCAACTTCATTTGGCCAAAGATACAAATGAACACTTTTTCTACCATAGTATAACAGAATAACTATGTTTATTAAAAATACGAAAAGAATGATAATATTCAATCTATGATTTTCTATGGATATTTGAATTAACAAGATTGATAAGTGGCACGGAATATATATTTTTCGAGCATTGATAAACATGTAGATTAAAAGTTTCAACAAGGTCAAACCAGGACAAACTAATAAGTCAAGTTATTCATATGTACTTGTAACATACTGTAGAAACTATTGATAATTATTATTGAAGTATGAAAGCACATATCGTTTACGAAAAACATATATAGGCAAATAATATTGTTTTGAGTTAGATCCTTACCAGTCTTAAATCTAACATACAATAATATTTAAATGCATATATGAAACTACTAAATCAATTACGGCAGATAATTAAAAAAAAACCATGGTGTCATTGAATAAGAAAAAGAGAATTCAGCGAGTAAAATTTTCTTTTCGACGAAATCATTAATCTAAGCTATACATTCGGCAGTTTATGAGTCAGTAATAACATTGGAATAGATTACATGAATAAAAAATAAGTAAAAATCAATTTATATTGGTTATCTAAATCTTCTCATTGATGTTTAGGACTGCAATTGGCATATATGCATTCTGTACGGATTGACGCAATATTGCCACTAAATTATGAGCATTATAAGCAGAATTGAATGGCTAGCAGTTGAATTCATTACATGCATTTCGTTTAACTTGGGACTCGTCAGCCGAATGTAAAATTTATAGTTTGATCACAGGTGTACTAGTTGTGATAATCATGAAGTCTTGAATCAATGTTTTATGATAGGCAGCAAGCCGACTTGAGAAATGAGACACGGAAATAACATTTATTAAAAAGTATTAGAATCGCGTAATAAATATTCAAATAAACAGTCAGTGAAGCCAATATTTAAAAAAAGGGGGACGAAGAAAAATAAACAAACCGAGTATAGGGAATGATAATAATGAAATCGTTTGCCAAGTCTCATTTGGCCAAAGAAGAGATACAAATGTTACAAATTTTTTGCGAATACAAACACTTGAGTTATTAGGTCGAATCTGTATAATTTCTGCTGTATGAAAAAGATGACATCAAATTGTTATATCTTTAAAAGCTGATTTTCTCGATATACCGTGTATAGCAGAGCACTAGAACACCAAAACCCTTCCAAGTCGCAATAAGACAGAAGACTAACGAAAGGAATATTATTCCAAACAGTGTCGATCATAGTACAAAATTGTCAGGTATTTATAGTTTTTAGTGAGAACGAAATCATCATTACAGTCTTCCAATCCGCATAGAGGGGGCTATTAGCATTATCTAATCGAGAAGCTACACGTTGGAATTCTAGAACATTCTTCCGAAAGGTGATTGGATGGGACGTCTTCGGCTCCTTCTGAGCCTCTTACAGCTTCCTCGAGTTCACCGGTGGTCCGTCGTCACATAAATTTTATGAGAAAAGGTAGTAGGCATACGATGAGTTACTCAAACGGACCGATATCAATCAAGCATCAAAGTTTTCCTTACACCCTTTCTAATCACGAAGGGAGGTGTCCACCAACTTGTCGGCTTAAATGTAAAAACCTCCCTTGAGAAAGTCTAACGACAACAATAGCAAATTTATATTTATACACTAACCAAAAGTGATTCAAACATTATGGAACATACCATTGTTTTAGAAAATAAACCCATTCAGTCAATGACAGCAGTGATATCGATTTTATTGAAAAATATTTTAAAAAAACAACTCAAGTAAAAATGATTATTGACTCTTTGAAGATGGCTTTTGAAAATGTCCAACAAAACTGAATTACAACGGTGAATGAATCAATATCTTGTGTTGACAATAAACAGACTACCAAGACACTCCTATTTTCAAATGTATTTTCAATTGAACCATACAACTTGAAGAATGTTTTTTCTTGTTCACTTATTTATATGTTGTACGATCTTTTACATTCCTTTTACTTCAAATTTTCTTTTTATTTGTGTGAGGAACTTAATGTAGTCACATAAATTTTATTATGAAAACGAAAAATACACACGTGGACACAACCAACAACTGACCAGCCAAATAAGTGATAATACACACTATTACGAAATAACACATATCGTAAGCCATAATTTCCTATATGAGGTCACTACAAGTCATTTGAAATTTCAGAGCACTGAACAATTTTATTTTTCAGCATAACTTGCAATCATCACACAATAAAGAAGTTACCTATTTTTTTAAAAGCATTTTTAATGCGGATAATTTTTATTGTTCTGCATAATGGACTAGGATTGGCCAAATTCTTAATATACAGAATACCAATTAGTAGTTAAAAAGGTACCACATAATGTTAGAAATTCCGATACATACCTAATGTTGAGTAGATTTAAAACAAAGGTTATAACTATTTCCACAAGTAACTTTCCACTACATAGTACACAAAAATATGAAAACTATTAGCAAAAGATGAAAAATCAGAAGCCTTAAGTGTGCTGAAAAGAAATTTCTAATCTAATTTGACGTAATTCATTTGGCAAGTAAAGGTTTATGTGTTCAGCTTTGAGCTACAATCTTTTGATAAGCTCATGTGAAATTACTTGGCTTCCTGAGTTGAAATATTATGAAGTTAAGTTCAGACCTGAAGCATATTCACAAATACCTATTTGAGTTAAATCACTGAAAAATGTTTTTATCAATTTTCAGTGAATGTGACGCGGCTGTTAAAAAGTAAGTCTAACAGACTTTCTTGCCTGTCGTAAATGCATTTATTTCATGTAACGTCTTGCTATCTTACACACTCCTCCTAACTGCTACACAAATACTAACGAGGAATGACAACTTCCCTCAAGATTACTGTCCACTTCGTGTATTCTAAAAACACTTAGTCACTTTTATAAGGTAAACAGAGTTGTGGAAAATATACTTCCTAGTACAGTCGAAGTAGTTGTAGCACGCTAAATGTGACTAATAGATAAATGACTATCATGATCAAATGTCTTCAATTATAGTTTGAATGTGTTTATGCACAAATATAAATCACCAGACTGGTTTATTCCATTAGAGTAATTAATATATTGATATATTTTAGGATAGTATCTACGAGAATCCATTATTCAAAAGTTTTATAAACCTCAAAAAAATTCAGGCAATTTGGTAGTGTGCTTAGTTCCAAGTTTCTATGATATTTAGTTGGAATTCATTAGTAAGATCTGTTTGCAATCTTGAAAACAATCCATATGATAAACTGTTTCTAAATCTATTCACTAAAAAATTTAAGAAGAATATACAGTGTGACAATTTAATCGTTAGCTTAATATCAAGACTAAATAAGTCTGCCAAAAAAATATTAGAATTTTTAGTCTACGAAACGAAGTTGAACTATTTCTCCATACAAATTTTGTTAAATTCATATATAACATCAAGAATGTTGAATAAAACGATACATTGCCTATTTTCACATGAAATTTATATATATATATATATATATATATATATAGGCTGTTACTCTAGTCCTTTAAAAAAATCTTGTTAGTGATAAACAATATTGATTGAAAGCATCGACGAAGCAGTTAACACAAATTGATGGATTTTACATGGACTTATTACAAATAACAGAATGACATAATAATTCATTATTTTAACACATTTGCAATTATTGAACGAAAAAAGGACTAACTTGATCAGTTGGTTTCCATTTTCTAATATTATCACCATCATACATGAAACGTGCGACTAATCCAGTTGTTGGTTCTAGTTTTGTTATTAAAAATAAATAAATAAGTGTACGACATTACTGTGAGATAGACTGCAGAATCAATCAGATTAAACAGTTGAAACTTCAAAAGTTTAAAACGATAGTCTCATACAATGCATTGCTTTATGAATTCGAATAAAGCCAGAACAACAATTGAGGCAGAATAATGTTGATTCGTTATATTTAGTAGTTTCTCAACAGCCGCTTGCAACCGTATGTACATTGAAAGGTAACATTGAAGTAGGATATTATGCGAAACAATTGATGTAGATGAATGAAAAGAATTAAAATGACAAAGGTCACCAATAATAACTATATATATAGATTGTGATAATTTTAGAGGTTGTGAAGGCTCTACATAAGATTACTGGAACTGGAAATTGATAAGATGTGTTGCACAATAACTAAACAGGATTTGGACGAAAACTTATGAATGAAGGGATGAATTTTTGTACATAAAATAAGAATTCGTTTGGAGAAGACCACGTAACAAAATAATGATCACAATAAAAATAATTTCTGTATATATAAATCAGGTTTCAGCTTTTTCGTTGCTACTGCTTCTACAAACGGGAAAGACATTGTTTTTTGTGTCCGCTAATAATTTTGAAGGCTTGTAGAATTTCAGTGGTATGCTCGGTGTCAATTGGATGCCAGACTATTGCACTGCTTAGAGCAGTTGCGGCATACTACAAAGACACATCTAACGCAAGAATACCTGGAGTGGAGTTTATATAAATTACAACAGTTTCTGTCCAATAAGTTACAACAAGGGGATTGTATGAAACCTTTTTGGTCGCGCAAGTAAACTTTATTCAAAGGAAAGTCTGGAAGAATTAGTCTTATATATAAGGAGCAGCTTTTCTTATCTACTGCATCGTATTTAATCCGTACGTTGTCTTTAACATAAATCACGATTAACTTCGCTGGATATGCGCTTTCACATAGGCAATTTGCAATGAAGACCTACACAACTTCACGATATCCGAAATAACATTACATACACCATTTAGTAATCCCAACCGTTGTTGCTACCTTGACGTGGCGGTCGAGCTTGTCTATTGTGATGAAGCAACTGAGCTATACTGGCTGGAACAACTGTTCCTCAAGGTCCTACAATGTCAGACAGGTCGGTTGAAGAGCGGTAAGACTACAAGCAACAAAGCTAAGGTCCGAAGGCGAAGTCGTACTGTTGACTGTGCAGAGGTGTGACAGCAGTAAGGTGTTTCCCTCAGACAACCAGCATGACAGCGATGCTGCCTTCCCATAAGGAGGGGTGGGGTTAGAAAAGTTCGACCCTAAAAATGTCACACCTCACCTTACCTCACGGATTTCCTTCTCCGGCGGTAGGGCCCTTTGAAGAACGGAGCTAACATATTAAAAACTTTCCACGAAAAGGCCGTGCGCGACCGGCCTCAAACAGTTGTCCCCTGGGCTCTGGGGTCACGTTCCCAGGCCGTTAAGGCCGACATTAGTCCATCTTCCTTTTCAGGTTCCTCAAGAAATACCCTTCCACGGTGTGGGCAGCCGGCAAGTGATAACCGCCTTCATACCTCTAACAGCACTCAAGACCACTGTATTCCTAATCAACCTTCATCTTCACTTCCTATTACTCCTCCTACATCGACTTTTAATACTAAACTTCCTTTTTCGGCTTCCTCCTCAAATGTCACCATAGCCAACGATTCTAGCGCTCAAAACACTGTCCCAGGTCTACTGAAACCTCGCTACAAACTACACATTGGAGCCTTCAACGTACGCACCTATGTCAAATCGGTCAACAGGCTTCCTTGGCTAAAACCCTAGAATTTCGTACCATTGATGCATGCTGTGTCTCTGAAACACACATACAGGATCCCAGTGTGGTCATTCACTTGACCCCACCTCGGCAAAACGGAGAGCTAACGAGATACACCCTCCGTGTACCTGGTGACGCGATGGTCAGCTCTCGTGTACTGGCAGGAGTAGGGATAGCACCAAGCATGAGGGCGGAACAAGCACTGTTAGAGTTGATCCCCGTTAACAGTCGTTTATGTGCTGTTCGGCTAAACGGCTCCGTAAGAACTCGGAAGGATAGGGACACACGTCGTTGCCTTTTTGTCGTTTCTGCCTGCGCTTCCACTGACTGAAGCCCGGATGAAACGAAAGATGAATTTTACAGAGCTTTCTAAACTCCTTCAGAATGCCAAACGTTCAGACATAGTACTCGTAGCAGGTGATTTCAATACCGAGATAGGTAGCTTAAACCAAACAGAAGGGCATTTAGGTGGGTATTTTAGTATTCCAGCACAACGAACAGATAATGGTGATCGTCTGCTGCAACTGTGCTCAGACAATCGTTTATTTTTAGCAAACACAAATTTTAAGCATAAGGAGAGATATCGTCTAACATGGACTCCGATCATGCTATAATAAGAGCACACATCTGTTTGTGCCTCACTGAACGCAAAAAAACCACATTAAAAAGACCCATTAGAACTGAATTGAGTAGCGAGGAAACCAAAAGTAGGTTACAGGAACAACTGAAGTCATACTTAGGTAGTTCTGAAAGTGAGGCTGACCCAGATGTTGCTTGAAAAAATATACAAACAGCTGTGGAAACAACAGTGACATCTATCAGTGATTTAAACCACAGGGTTACAAAGAACCAATGGATTTCCTCTAGGTCTATTGCACTGATGGATTCTCGTAAACTCATCCCATCAGGCTCTGAACACGATGGAGAGCTACAACACATCAGATCTAAGTTAAGCAAAAGTCTAAGGAACGACCGTGAGCAGTGGTGGGCAAAAGCAAAAGAGATGGAAAAGGCGGCGACTATATGGAACACAAGACAGCTCTACAGACTAATAAAAGAAACTGGAATTAATAAGTCAAGTGTAAGTCAGACTATTTCGGAAAAAGACGACACCCTCATCTGCTCTCAATCCAGACGTTTAGAACGATTAGCGGAACATTTCAGAGGACAGTTCAGCTGGCCTTCAGCTACTCTACATCTACTCTCCATTCCCAGACAGTGTGAATGGAACATTGGAGTAGGTCTCCCAACTCTAGCAGAAGTTAAAAGGCTATAGTTAATCTGAAGCGAGGAAGGGCAGCTGGTCCAGATGGATTGACTCCAGAGGTCTTTAAGGATGGTGGTCCAATTTTAGAGATTAGGTTGACTAATATTTTAGCTAAGATCTGTGAGTTAGACGTTATTCCATCTGACTGGTCACAATCACTTATCGTCCCAATATATAAGAGAGGGTTAAAATCATCCTGTGACAACCATAGAGGGATTAGTTTAACTAATGTAGTATCTAAAATACTAGCCTCGATAATTATCAGACGCTTAACTAAGACTCGTAAACTGCAAGTCTGATCAGCTCTAATGGGTTGAAATCTGGTGAAACCTCCGCACGGATTCAGAAAGCCTGTTTGCGTTTTGCCAACTTACATCACTTGTGGCGAAGACGAGTTATCCGTTTACCAATTAAGGGACGAGTATGTTGGGCGGTAGTTCGTTTTGTCCTACTTTACGGCTGCGAAACATGTCCATTAAGAGTTGAAGATACTCGTAAGCTACTAGTATTTGACCACAGATGCCTTAGAAATATTGCTGGCATCTGCTGGGATCATCGGATAAGTAATAGTGAGGTTAGACACAGGGTATTAGGGAATGATGGTAAATCAGTTGATGAGGTTGTGAATCTTCATCAACTGAGATGGTTGGTTGGGTTGACTGAACACTGATTACCACGTCTCGCAACTCTGACTAGTGTTGGAGACGGCTGGAACTAGGTTAGTGGCGGCTAAACCAAATCTTGACATCAGTGCTTGAAGTCACTAACTTCTAGACTGAACCATGTTGGTGGATGCAGACTACTTGGTAGGTGTCCGCGTGACTATCGTAGCCAATGGTTGGAGACTGTGTAATATGGCTCAGAATCGATCACAATGCCGTCGGTGTATATACTCTCTGTCTTCCCTTAAACTAAGAGATTGGAATCGCTTCATATCTTTCTTTCTACGTACTAAATCTTTCTTCCTGTACTATATCCCTAAATGCAATCTTTCTTTTATATATTACCACCACTGACTTAACTACTCCTATGAATCTGTTCATCATGCTGTGCTAATGCGGTATGGCAACTTGGACCGATGCATATATGTGCCCGGTCCTACGTTGTAGCTGACTGACATTTAGTAATATTGTGTGCAAATTAGGAGGGAAAGACTCACATATAAGAAAAAGCGTTTACGGCTTATAGACGAGGCTAATAATTTACATTAACTTGAATAGATACAACTCTCTTGATTCCTCTACTTTGTCGACTCAATTAAAAATATCAATTTAAATGGTAGGCCAGTGATCTTATTGGATGTCACTTCTCTTTTTACAAGCGTTCCTCTCACAGAAACTCTGTGTTTTTTTATGTGACTATATTGAAAAGAAGGCTGGATGGTTTTTTACAGAGATCTATATATAGAAAACTGACTTGGAATGGGCAGTACACGAATTTCCATAGCTAGGCCCCAGTGATTAGAAAGACGAAAGTCATTCACTCTTTATCCTCAAGGATCAGGTGAATATGTTCTACTGATACAACAGATGAGGAACTACTTCTCATTGGGAATGACTAACCACCTAGATTTGTCGATAGCCACTTAACACCTAGACATCATCCTGAAAAAGCACCGTCAGTAACAAAAGAACCCCTTTTATGAATATGGAATTTAAAGGAATACGGCTGCTGAAATCTTAAATAAACGGATTTCAAAATCGTTGAATAAAAAGTTCTAAGCAGTTCAACTCCGAATCTTTTTCTCAAGCCGGTCTAACATTCACGGATGTGTTAAGGGTAAACCTCCGCTTTGGGCCACATCAATGTGCACATAAAAATTTACTTGCTCATGTGTGGCAGGTTACATTGGCCGCACAAACCGATCACGTTCCAAACGCATCTCAGAACACTATCCGGCATGGTTTTCAAAAGGAGAATGTAAAACAATTACTAGTTCAATACAGGCGCATTCAATCAACTATGGACACATCACTCCAAAGGAGTCTTCTTTTAAAGTAATCTACACATTCAAAGGAATTTGATAGAAGGGAAGTCGAACCAATATTTTATGCACCGCTGAGATATTGGCAATCCACGAACTTTGAGTGCAAAGACGGTTCGTTCAGCCTCCCGCCCTTCCTTGACCTTAATCTCCTTTAATGGTGTTTCGACCTTTTTTCTTTTTTCTTCATTTCTATCTGATTATTATTGATTTCTTCAGTTAATGTCTTGTAATTTTAAACTGCATTCAGTTATTATTATTATTATTATTATTATTATTACTACTACTACTACTACTACTACTATTATTATTATTATTATTATTATTATTATTATTATCAATATTACTATCCTAAACTAGTTCTCTTGATTATTATTCAGTTTTTGTTATTATCACCTTTATGTTTGTCCTTTTCTTCGTATCTCTCAATCAGACAACTATCTGACCCGTAAATTATTTTTTTCCTTAAATTCTTTTCTTACCGTTGATCATTGCGTAACCTCGTTTAATAATAAGTTTCGAATACAGTCTTTTGTATCCTTCTATAGACATATATTTTCCATATAAGTACGAATGTAAAGCTTAAGTAAATGATCTCGTCGAAAAGAAAATTTGCTTCGCTGAATTCTCTTTATTTTCATTCAATTTCTTACATTTTATAAAAACGAGGGTTTATGATTACGAACCCAGTCTGCCAGTAGATCTTTTTATAAATCACTGACTTGTGTTACATTCACTGTTATATATATCCCAGTAACTCAGTTTCCTTTGGGGTTTGGTTATACATGAGAGTATGTAGATGGACTTGAATTAATGTAGGCCGAACTATGCGCGCTCTTTTCACAGATTGAGAAATGTATATTTATACAAATGTTAAATTTTAAATAATCCTTTATGACATTAACAGAAATTGAGGCTCACCTTTCTCAAATCTATACTAATATTATTTAGTACTGACTTACGTAATAAAAATGAAGAAACAGAAATGAATGTCAATACCAAACGAGTAATCCGAATTCGACTATGTCCAAGATATTTATATGTAATATATGTAACAGCAAGTGCATACGCCGAACCACCACCAAAAAGTAGACCTGCACCGAGGAGATGCATAGACCAAACAGCTGTTTCCTAGAAGGAAATCGGATAAAGTACTGGATGCATAATGCCGTAAAATGAATTTAAGAGGACATTGTTCCATTAATCTCACGATAATAACGATACATGTATTTCACATGAATCAACCTTTATAACCTTTAAAACATAGGTCATAAAAACAACGAGCACATATTTCGTTGCTAAAACAAAAGAACCATAAAAAATAACAAGTCATCAAGCAAAGTGCTCGGATCATCAGAATAAATAATAACTAAAAAATCACTGTATCACAGAATACAGACAATTTAGAAAAGCGTAAGTAATACTACCAACATATGGAATTTTTTCGTTATCCGCATACACTTTGATAAAAGTTTACCAAAGTTGACGTAGGCGAGATATCCATCTAAGAACGAAAGGACGTATTTACTTCTCAGCAGTTCGTGTCGTCCCACTTTATGGCAGTGAAACATGGCCGGTAACAGTAGAGGATATTCGTAGGTTACTAGTATTCGATTATAGGTATCTTCGAAACACTGATCGTATATCGTGGGACCACCGAGTAAGTGATGCAGTTTTTGGGACACGGGTGCTAGGTAAGGATGGCGAACCAATTTATGAAGTATCGGATGCGCACTGCTGAGGTGTCCCATACTAGGACGAAACGGCTCTCAAGTGCTTCCAGGTTTTCCATGGTGGTCTAGCTTCAATTGACTCATGAATTCAATTATTAAATTACTAAAATCACCAGAAAATCCTCTTCTGATAATAATCATCATGTGCTCACTAGTGACTGGTTTCAAGAGATATTTCCTCGAGTTCTAACGAAAATCCGTGACCAGTGGAGTTTAGTCAAGTCTGTTGTGAGACAGTTTCGCAGGCGTAAGAACAAAAAGCCGTTGCGTAGGCAATCTTTGAGTATTTAACTTGCTTAGATCACTTTTCAAATACATTCAGTGATTTTAAGATTATTTATACACTTCGTTTTCAATTGCCAAAATTTATATTGTGATTCTTTAAAACGGTAAGATTTTTGACTATTCATAACATAAGGCTTGAATTATGTATCTACACATATCTTAACTTTCTATTTGTCTTGGGTCTTAATCAATTATTGTTGTGGTTATTAATATTATAATATTCCCCATACTTTTCTAGTCAGAAAATTCCCTAGTTCCCTAAACTGTTTTTCATACTGCCTTAAATTTCTCACTCAATCATTTCACGTATTATTTACCTAATACCAAGTAAACGTCTTTCTGGACCCAGTGGCTAAGTGAATAAAGCGATGCTATTGGAGGCCAATGATACCGGGTTTGAGTCTTGAGGTGAACATCAACTCTGGGATGTGGGTACATCCAGTCAACGAGTCCTAAATGGAACAAAACGTGCATCCTGAATCCTACTACTAGTGACATTCCATCCAGTCTATATTAGCAACGCAACACTTCTGTGTTCGACAAATACATACTGTTACTCAAAACACAACGGCATGTTAAAGGTGTAACAAATATTCTATCCTCTCACTCCGAAGAATAAATTGTAACACTTTTACAAATATCAAACGGTATATTTATATACTATCTTTGATTAATCTAATAAATTCTTCAGTCGTGATTTAGCTTGTTTTTCTAAAAAGTTAGATAGGATCATATGAGAGGAGACGAAGTTGTGTCATAACAGCTAGAGCTAAGAATATTAGATTTCCCGTTTCATCAGATAGTAACTAGTTTTCAATTGATAATTTACTTCCGAATTAATAACTGTACGCTCAGTTGTCCGGCAACATATCAACAATACTAGAAAAGTGATAGCAATTAAACATATGTAACCTGTTCGTACTACCGACTTTTCATGAAAATTTCCCATTTATAAAGCAGAATATAGTGTAAAATCCCATATTATTTCACTTAACCTCAACTGTTTCAATATTTAGAAACTAATTTAAGTCAGAGGAAAATGATCCGTGACGTCAATTTGCTTACAAGTGCTAAAGAGATACCCTAGGTGCTGCTGTTGTTCTGCATAATAACGTTCAGTTTAGAAGGATGAGAAATATGTTCGATGAGCATTTCTAGACTATACTTCTGTATTCAACACTTCCAAAAATCAGTATCATTTAGAAAGTTTGCTAGCGTTAGCACCGACAGCTAGATAACCGATTGACCGTGCTTATTCCTCTTTATTAACTCAACCTGGTGTTCCACAAAGAGCTGCTCTTCTGTTTTTTCTTTTCTCCTTTATTCTTCATGATCTTCCATCTTCGACAAAAATCACTTTTTAAGTATGCGGATGATCTACCTGTGTATATACAAGTTTCTTCCTATTAAAATCGCCTTGAAATGAATGAGTTCTTAGCGCGTACTGAACAACGGTCCATTTTTAATAGTCTTACACTTATTCCTTCTAAATGTAAATCTGTTAACTTCAGCCTGAGAAATGAAAATTACTTAAACATTCTGCTGGAATAACATTGATTTTAATGATTGGAGATTCTGTAGTTAAAATATGTCAAAGCTCATTTACCTTGGGGTACATTTTTCCTCTGATCCCTCTTGATGTACTTATGTTATATTAATATCGGAGAAAATCCTGTCAGTCTTATGTGAAGAGGTTACATGTCTTTGGCATTAACGGATATTTACTCTTACGATTTGTAAATTCTTGTACTTTATATATCATGCTTTATTGCCTCCCATTATTTTTTGGACTTTTGAGAAACGGTTTCGCTGTATTGTGAAGAGTGCTAAAGGCATTTTTAAGGTATTTGATGAATCATTGATGCCATTGTGGAGGTTTGTAAATAGACATTTTAAGTCTTGCAAACTTATGGATGTGTTACTTTATCAAATACTAATCACTCACTCCATTTACATCTTTATTCATGTATACTTCTGGACAAAATGAGAAGCAGATACATTAGGATTCATGGATGCAATACTTTATCTAAAATATTTACCATGTGAAAAACAGGCAGCAAAAGCTGACCTAACTGAAAAATTGTGTGCTTGAACAAATTACTAATTCACAGTTGTATAGATTCTTGTTTTCTGAAAAATATTTCATTTAGTTCTGAATAATTAATTTACTTATTTTACATGTATAAGCATATAAGTACATTTTTCTTTTTTGGTGAAGTAATGAATGTGGGCTAATGATAGGACAAAACAGCTGTTTAGTGATTCCTAGTTTTCAATTGTTCGACAATCAAAGTTAGAAACTTCGAAAACTAATTTACTTGCATATATAACATCAAACAAGTAATTGTAACATAAACTCATTTCAATGTTCATTATTATACATAAATTGACAATACTCAGGGAAATATTTGAATACAAGTATACAGTGGTGTTTTTAAAATATGAAAATTATAAGAAATATATAATAATTTATAATATTGGCTTACTTGAAAGTTGGCTACTATACTCATACCAACTGCACATATAAGACCAAAACATAAAGCAACTCTAGCCAATCTAATTTGACGATAACATTGTTGATTAAATTTCTGGCTACAATCTAGCAAATGTTTATGCCATGAGTAGAAGCATAAACCTGCTTTATTATTATGACGAACAGATGACAGCAGTAAGGAAAAAATGACAAATAATACATGATTATGAAAAACTGTGGGAGAGAGAAAGGCAACATGTATTCTTAAATAAGGTTATTAAACCAAATAACAAATACAAGATCAATAAAATAGTTACAAATATTGTATAGCACGTATACAATGTTACCTCAAGGTATCCTGCAATTTTTCATATGGTGACTAAAAAATAACCTATCCGAATAGTTACTTATATTTATAAACAAATGTAAGAGCTGAGAAATGTGTTCAACGATTCAACTGGCCACATTTCACATCAGAACAATGGGAGGAATTTAGCAAGTTCAGTAGTGATAGGTGAAAATAATTATAACGATGGTAATAGAAAACTAAACATAAACTTATCCATATATTTCTAACTTAATTCTGCACTATCCATCAGAGTAGCTGATACAGTAAGGATGTATAGCATATATCTTCAGCAAATATCTACACAGAGGGGGTAAAAATAAAACTAAACAAGTTTCACCTAATCATTTACAACATATCAATAGATTAGGTCAAAAAAATTAAGCAAAGGTTATACATTCAGTTAAGAATCCAACAATTCTAATTAGTTATACTTATTAAACTTGTTGATTAATTGAAAACTTTCTTAATTTTACTATTACTATCACTGTTAATATCAGGAAATGTTGCAGTCTATGTGTGTTAATAATGAAAGCACTATTACAGTACCCAAGTATATCCAGATGAATTATAAATTTTCAAAACATTATAAAAGTATTTTTCACTAAAGTAACAAAGATTGTTGTTAGCTAACATCGAACATGTGATAGTGACTACAAATACTGCTTTTGCTAATAATTATTTGACAATTTTTTTATGATGTCACTAGTCGAAATGAAGTATTCGATGATGAATAATGTTGAATAGATTACAAACTGCATCATTGCTTATAATTTAATAACATGAAACAAATAAACAAATGGGAGAAAATAAACAAAACATATAGAGTAAGAAACATTGAGGTATTGATTGTTAGAAAGATATCATTTTAAAGAATCCCAATAAATATGAGGAATGTAAATTTTATTTTGTTTAACCTCAAGTGTCGAAGATAAAACAGTGCTAGTCTATTGATACATCAACACTTGACTCATTATTAATTACATTGAATTTTTTGATCCATAGATTTTTCTACCAACAATTAATATCTTATATGGTTACTATCCAATGACTAGATGATACAGTTAATTATATACGTTTATATATATACGTCATATATGATTTGGTGAGGATAATGAATACTTTCAAGTCTAAAGACACAATAATCTCACATACAGAAAAATGATAAAGATGACACGTAGGTTGAATTACAACCTGTTAATTATGATCACATATTAAATCTTTAAATATACATATTGAAGTACATTACATTAACAGAATATTAAACAATGTGAACTATGTTATTTGTCATTTACCCAAAACTGAAACAATATTTAATAATTGACCGAAAATACAACTTTCTGGGATCTTTGAACCAGCATCACTTAGGTATTTTAAAAAAGAAAAAGAAGAGTGGGAAGAAAACAGTTTAGATCCACTTGTAATCTATATTTTTAATAATGACAGTAAAAATGAAAAATTTATTTTTGTCTTATATATGGTTACTTTTTATAGTATTAGCCATGTAAAATGTTTCCTGAAAGAAATTGACTAACATTTCAGTCAATCATACATTCTTTTGAGAGCTACTAAACTATAAACCATACATTCTGACTGGCAGTGGAATTAAGTAGGTGTTTTCTTCTGATTTAGGACTGGTTAGTCGCATTTACTTGGATCCTAGCGTTTATGTTAACCAAGAGACTCAGATTTAGGATCTATTGCTTCAATGATAATTACAAAACTTTTCATAAGAAATAACACATGCCTTCTAGTGTTCTATTCTTCACAAACTGGAACCGGGTCGCCCCAAACAAATTGTAAGTTAAAACAATTTTTCACTCATTTCAGTCTCATTATATGGTTTTGAATGGTTACATATGGATCAACACATAAGCATTCACTTTTTATCATCTCTTAAGTCCTGAGTTTCAATCTTATTTCGTACTTTTTATCAGATGCATTCAGCTCATGTTCTCGAACCGTATTCTCCAATGTTTATGATCTCTCACCATCAATGATACTACTATAACCCCGGTTGTTTTGTTGTTCCCCTTGTTAATTTCGTCTCTCCATGTTTATGTAGTTACGGCAACTTGGACTAACAAATATTTGTGACAGCTTCTGTTGTGGTTGACTGAGGCGAAAATCCCAACATAAACAAAAGCAAAAATAAACCATTCATATAAATTATTTGATAAAACCGTTAATTTCAATGAACTAATAAGGTTGGTAACAGTATTTTCTTTCATTCACTATCTTCAATATTGATAGATTTTATATGATACTACATATCTTACCCCAATGTACGAATAATATGCCGAAAATGGTAATCCACAAACTTTAGAGTGATTTATAGTTTAATTAATTAGTCATTCATTGTTAAATACTAACATATTCACTTAAAACAACCAGATAAAAATATATTTACTAATTCGCTTAAATATTGTTTCTTGGTCCCTATCCATTTAAGATTTGATATATTGTTTAGGGTCAGTCATGTTATTTGTAACGTAGAACTTGACATACATATTTATCAGTTCAAGTTGTCATACCACTCTAGTACAGTGAGATAAAATTATCAAGAAATCCTAAGGTGATAAAAGTAGTAACAGTACCATTAACAGTAGTAAAGATTAGGTATAGGAAGAGAAAACTAGGTATAGAGACCTCAGGACTCAGGTTCTGAAGGAAAACAAAGAGTACGTGCATCTGTACTATTGCAAAAGATTCTGAGCCATTATAATAATAATAATAATAATAATAATAATAATTATTATTATTATTATTATTATTATTATTATTATTATTATTATTATTATTTACTACGTCATTATTCACCCTCTTTTATTCCTACTGTCTATACTTATTTTTTTCGACTTTTGCAGCAGCTCGTCTATGGTGGAAACTCGGTTCTATCTAAACGTTTTCGAGTCACTGTCCGGTTGAAAATTGTATGTTACCACCGAATACGAGTACTGAAGCAGTTTTTCTGAAACCACGTGCACCATTCAAACTGGCTGCCTTCAACGTTCGCACATTTATGCAGGTCGGACAACAGATAGGGCTGGCTATGTCTTTGGAAAGTCTTAATATTGATGTTTGTTGTCTATCCGAGACCCGTATTCAAGACTCTGGCGAAGTACTACAAATTCGATCTCCATCTGTCGCTTCGAAAAGCTTGTTTTACGTGCGCTTATCCGGGGACCCTGTGGCATCTTCGTCTGGTCTTGCTGGCGTTGGTGTCGCACTAAGCGCTAGAGCTGAGGCAGCACTAGTCGATTGGATCCCCATTAACAGTCGGTTATGTGCTGTTAGATTAGAAAGTTCCATCAAAGTGAGAAGAAATCGGCGTGAGAAACGATGTCTTTTCGTCATCTCCGCCTATGCCCCGACAGATTGCAGCCCGGATGCAATCAAGGATGAGTTTTACCACCAGTTATCTGTTCTTCTCCAGAAAGTGCGTTCGACAGATATTGTAGTACTAGCCGGAGACTTGAATGCTCAGGTCGGGCGTCTAGGCACAGAAGAGAGTCGTTTAGGTGGCCGATGGGGACTCGTTGGTCGCAGGTCAGATAACGGGGACCGTCTACTGCAACTTTGCACAGACCACAACCTGTTTCTGGCTAGCACTAACTTTCGGCACAGTCATCGCCGATGTGCCACCTGGCGTCCTCCCTCTGCATCTCAAGCCTGGACTCAGATTGATCACATCGCGATCAGCTACCGCTGGCGTGGTTGTGTACAAGACTGCCGCTCCTTTTGGAGTACCTATCTGGACTCTGACCATGCCTTGGTCTGCGCCAATCTTGCCTTACTTTTCAGTGGACAACGAAGTGACCGCCATCAACGGATTGATGTTAGCAAGCTGGTTGCAACTTCTGTTGCAAGTAAGTATCGAACCGAGCTAGCCTCTAGGCTAGCTACCACTCCACCGAAAAGTATAGATGAGCATTGGTTGCAATTGCATGACGCCATGAAAATGGCGGGAACAGTCAGTTGTGGGTTTGCGAAACGTCCCGCTTTTAAGCACTGGGTTTCTTCTGGTTCCTTACAACTCATTGAAGCCCGTCGGTCTACTCCGGGTGACCGTGAGTTTGACCATAAACGAAGGATGTTACGTAAGGAAATTGGGCAAAGCTTGCGTAAGGACCGAGAAGCCTGGTGGTCGATGCGTGCTAATGAGCTGGAAGCAGCAGCTGCATCTGGTAACTACCGGAAGCTCTTCCAACTCATCCGAGCCACTGGCAGCAAGAAGTCTGGTGTGAGTGAAACAATCTGCGAGGATGATGGGATGCCAATCACTAACATCCATCGACGTCTTGGACGATGGGCAGAATTTTTCGAAGGGCAGTTCAACTGGCCTGCTGCTCCGGCAACATCGGTCAGACTGTCCTGCCCTCCATGGCCGGTGACGACTGATCCACCAAACGAGGAGGAAGTCCGCAAGGAACTCCAACTCTTGAAGCGTTACAAATCACCTGGCCCAGATGACTTACCTCCGGCTCTTTTTAAAGATGGTGGTGACTTTTTGACTAAGGAATTGACGACGTTGTTTACAAAGGTTTGGGAACTAGAGAGTGTACCAACGTCATGGAATGAGTCGATAGTTGTCCCTATCTTTAAAAAGGGTTCACGTCGTTCCTGTAACAACTATCGGGGGATAAGTCTACTTCCGATTGCGTCCAAGCTATTGGCTTCCGTCATACTTCGTAGGTTGTTCAAAACCCGAGAAAGATTGACTCGCGAGGAGCAGGCTGGGTTTCGTTCTGGTCGAGGATGTATTGATCATATCTTCACCCTCCGCCAAATGTTAGAACACCGCCATACTTTTCAAAGGCCAACAATCGTAGTGTTTCTTGACATCAGGGCTGCCTTCGATTCGTTGGACAGGACTGTTCTCTGGGATTGTCTATTGAAGAAGGGTGTGCCTGAGAAGTTTATTAACATCCTAAAAGCCCTGTATAAAAACACCTCAGGCAGAGTGAGGGCATACAACCACCTCTCTCCATTGTTCCATTCGAGCAGTGGGGTTAGGCAGGGTTGCCCAATCTCACCATTCCTCTTCAACTTTGCCATCGATGACATTCTGGAAACAGCTCTGATGAATGTAAGTAATGGTGGTGTGGATCTGTTGCCTGGAGAAAGACTTCTCGACCTTGAGTATGCGGACGATATTGTCTTACTGTGCGATAATGCCCAAGGCATGCAATCCGCACTTAATCAGTTGGCAATCAGTGTCCGTAGGTATGGTATGTGCTTTGCACCTTCGAAGTGCAAAGTACTTCTACAAGACTGGCAGGATTCTAATCCTGTACTCACCCTGGATGGTGAGCAGATAGACGTAGTTGAGAAGTTCGTGTATCTGGGTAGCTGCATAAGTGCTGGTGGTGGTGTGAGTGATGAGATCAATGCACGTATAGTGAAAGCCAGAGCGGCTTATGCCAATCTGGGCCACCTTTGGCGCCTTCGTGATGTTAGTCTGGCTGTAAAAGGTCGGATCTACAACGCGTCGGTGAGAGCAGTTTTGCTCTATGCTTGTGAAACCTGGCCTCTCCGAGTTGAGGACGTTAGACGACTCTCTGTGTTCGATCATCGCTGTCTCCGAAGGATTGCTGACATTCAGTGGCAACACCATGTCAGTAATGCAGAGGTTCGGCATCGTGTGTTCGGGCACAGAGATGATAATTCAATTGGTGTCACCATCTTGAAACACCGACTTCGGTGGCTTGGACATGTTCTACGAATGTCGTCCCAGAGAATTCCACGTCGTGCATTATTTGCCGACTCTGGGACTGGTTGGAAGAAGCGGAGAGGTGGTCAGTGCATGACATGGTGTCGTGGTATGAAAGAAAGCTGCAAAGGACTGGCTTGTGTTGGTCCTTCACGACTCCCTGGTTGGGGTCCGAGAGATGGTGCTACACAGTGGCTAGAGACGTTATCAGATATGGCTCAGAATAGAAGCCAGTGGCGATCCTGCTGTAACCTTCTTTTACTTTGTTCATAAAACGTGATTGTGTCTTCCTTAACTGAATGATTTCTTTTGATTGTACCCTTCTGTTCCGCTACTACCACTTTTACTATTACACTACCTAACACCAATCTCTTCATTATTGTTTATTATTATTATTATTATTTTACGTTCCTCACTTTTTTTTCTTCTTAAATTCTCATTGTTTTGTGTGGCGCATATATATTTGGCACATTCCTGTACCAATATATATGTGTTCAAATAAATAAATAAATAACGTGACTCACTTACCATGCACAAGTTTATGCACTCAGCAGTGGGTCACACATTTGTGTGGGGATTAGTGATACTATCTAATTTCACAGACACATGTAAATAAAGAAGGGTCTTGACTACTTTAACCATTACGCCATCGCACTTAAGCGCGGCAAGAATGATATTCATTGTGCAATCTTAACGGCGGACATAATTTTCAGTCATATAATATTGGATATACCACATCCCGGCCGTAGCTGCTACCTTGACGCGGTGGTCGGGCTTGCCTATCGCGATGACCCAACCGAGCTATATTGGTTGGAACATATGTTCCTGTAGGTTCTACCATGCCAGGCAGGTCGATTGAAGAACGGTAAGACTAAAAGCAGCAACTCAAGGTTTGAGGGCAAAGTCGTACTGCTGACTGTAGAGGGGTGTGACAGCAGTAAAGTGTTTCCCTCGGACAACCAGCATCTACAGCGATGCTGCCTTCTCACAAGGAAGGGGGGGGTTAGAAAGGGTCGACCCTAAAAATGTCACGGATTTCCGTCTCCGGCGGTAAGGCCCTTTGAAGAACGGAGCTAACACGTCAAAAACCTTCCACAAAAAGGCCGTGCGCGACCGGCCTCAAGCAGTTGTCCCTTGGGCTCTGCGGTCACGCTCCCAGGTCGTCAAGACCAACACTAATCCAATTTCCTTTTCAGGTTCCTCAAGAAATACCCTTCCACGGTGTGGGCAGCCGGGAAGTGACATCAGCCCTCATACCCGTAACAGCACACGAGACCAAATTGGTCACATTCAAATCCTTCCTACACCTCCTAATACCTCTCTTATCTCCATGACTAACCCTCCTCACCTCTCTTTATCACCTCGCACCGCTAGGGCAAACGATTCGAGTACGCGGAACGCCATTCCTGGTCTCCTGAAACCACGCTCTAAACTACACGTAGGAGCTTTTAACGTACGAACACTGTGCCAAATAGGACAGCAGGCTTCCTTAGCTAAAACTTTAGAATCTCGCGCCATCGATGTGTGCTGCGTCTCCGAAACGCGCATACAGGATCCGAGTAGCGTCATTCATTTGACCTCACCATGCCAAAATAAAGAACCGACTCGATTCACGCTTCGTGTATCTGGAAGCCCTGATTCTGCTTCCCGTGGCCTCGCCGGCGTAGGTATAGCATTGAGTCCTAGGGCAGAACTAGCTCTCTTAGAGTGGATCCCAGTAGACAGTCGTTTGTGCGCTGTCCGACTGAACGGAACAGTAAGAATCCGGAAAGATAGGGACACTCGTCGTTGCCTCTTCGTCGTCTCTGCCTATTCTCCCACTGACTGCAGCTCAGATGATGTAAAAGATGAGTTTTACAGAAAGCTTTCGGACCTTCTCCGAAAAGCTAGGCGCTCGGATGTAGTAATAGTGGCCGGTGACTTTAATGCTCAAGTAGGTAAACTAAGCGATAGGGAAAGACACCTAGGTGGATCTTATGGTGTCGTGGCTCAAAGAACAGATAATGGCGACCGTCTGTTGCAGCTATGCTCAGATAACCGCCTGTTCCTTGCAAATACTAACTTTAAGCATAAGGAAAAACATCTTTTAACATGGCGACCCCCTAATTCGTCCCAACGTTGGACCCAAATAGATCACATCGCTATCAGCCACCGATGGAGGGGCTCGATAGAAGACTGTCGCTCATTCTGGAGCACATGCCTAGATTCAGATCATGCTCTAGTGCGAGCGCGTATTTGCTTGCGTCTTACTGGACGTAGGAAAGACGCTGCAAGGAAACCTCTTAGGGCCTACTTAATGATAGTCAAGCTAAGAGTATATTTCAGGAACAACTAGGAAAACAGTTAGGCAGCCATGTATGTGATGGAATGATATCCGAAAAGCTGTGGAAACAGCAGTGATATCTGCTAGTAAGGTAAACCGGAAGGTTAGGGAGCAACACTGGATCTCAGCAGCATCTATCGCACTGATAGATGCTCGGAAACTCATTCCACCTGGCTCTGAACATAATGAAGAGCGGAGTCAGCTTAAGCGCAAGCTGACAAGAAGTCTACGCAATGATCGCGAACAGTGGTGGGTAGCGAAAGCAAGAGAGATGGAAAAGGCAGCGGCAATAGGTAATAGCAGACAATTGTTCAGACTCGTTAAGGAAACCGGAATTAGGAACCCGACCGTTAGCGAAACAATCTCAGAGAAAGATGGACATATTATACATTCTCAATCCAGGAGATTGGATCGATGGGCAGAACACTTTAGGGATCAGTTCAACTGGCCTTCAGCCACACTTCGGTTTCCCACGATCTCTAGTCAACCTGAATGGCAAGTTAATGTAGGTCCTCCGACTCTTTACGAAGTTGAAAAAGCCATAGGAAATCTGAAACGAGGGAGAGCAGCAGGCCCTGACAGGTTTACTCCTGAGATTTTTAAGGATGGTGGTCCAGTATTAGCAGTGAGATTAACTGAGGTCTTAGGTAGAATTTGGGAACTGGACGTAATCCCATCTGACTGGTCTCAATCACTGATTGTGCCAGTCTATAAGAAAGGACAAAAGTCCTCTTGTGACAATCACAGAGGAATCAGTTTGACTAATATAGTGTCTAAAATATTAGCTTCAATAATACTTCGACGCCTAACTACAGCTCGTGAAGAGCAGACTAGAGAAAACCAGGCTGGTTTTCGACCTGGACGTGGTTGTATAGATCAGATATTCACACTACGTCAGGTTCTAGAACACAGACACATTCAGACGCCCCACAATGGTAGTATTTCTCGACCTTAAGGCGGCATTCGACTCTGTTGATCGTGAGGTTCTATGGCAGTGTTTGTCACTGAAAGGAGTACCAAAGAAGTACATTAACCTTATAAAGGCTCTCTACTCGAACACAACTGGTAGAGTGAGAGCTTATGGCGAACTGTCATCAGAATTGATTACCTCAAGTGGTGTTCGTCAGGGCTGTCCACTCTCTCCATTCTTGTTCAACTTTGTCGTTGACGTACTTTTAGAGATAACACTTTCCTCATCTAAATTTCCAGGGGTTGAACTTCTACCGGGAGGTTCACTTGTTGACTTAGAATATGCTGATGACATAGTTTTATTTGGTGAAGACGCTGACAAAATGCAGAGTCTTCTGACCACTCTAAGCAACAATGCAAGCATGTTCGGGATGCGATTCTCCCCTCGAAATGCAAAATGTTGCTTCAGGATTGGGTTACATCGACACCCGAACTAATGATAGGGAGTGAAGTAGTTGAGTGTGTCGACCGCTTCACTTATCTTGGAAGTCTCATCAGCCCTTGTGGTTGGTGTGTGACGAAATCTCAGCACGGATACAGAAGGCTCGACTAGCTTTTGCCAACTTGCGTCATTTATGGCGTAGGCGAGATATCCGTCTATCAACCAAAGGACGTGTTTACTGCGCAGCAGTTCGTTCCGTCCTACTTTATGGCAGTGAAACATGGCCGGTAAGAGTAGAGGATATCCGTAGGTTACTAGTATTTGATCATAGGTGTCTTCGAAACATTGCTCGTATATCATGGGACCATCGAGTAAGTAACACAGTTGTTAGGAAACGGGTACTAGGTAAGGATGGCAAATCAATTGATGAAGTAGTGAAACTTCATCAGTTGAGATGGCTGGGACACGTGTTACGTATGCCCAACGACCGACTGCCTCGACGTGCTATGTTCAGTGGTATAGGAGTAGGTTGGAAGAAAGCTAGGGGCGGCCAACCAAAACATGGCACAAGTCCATGAAGTCACTGACAAGTGGACTGAGTCATGTTGGTAGGTGTAGACTACCTGGTTGGGGACCGCGAGATGATAGCAACCGATGGTTAGAGACCCTGAATGACATGGCTCAAAATCGTTTGCAATGGCGCAGGTGCATCCACTCTTTGTGTTCTCCCAAATTCTAATCTTCTGAATTCTTCATGTCCCTTTTTTCCTCTTTCCAAATTTATTTCACTGGATTATACTCTTTAAATAACATCTCCAAACCCTAATCTTCCCGATTACTGCTTATACTCTTACTACCTCTACCACTACGGGATTTGAATCGACAACTGCATCTCTGTGCGAATGTGGTATGGCAACTCAAACTGATGTACGTACGTACGAAGTTCTACGTTTTTACTGACTGACTGACTGAATATACCACATGTATATAGACCACTTAAACATATCATGAACTTTGGTTTAAAATACAAACTATTCGTTCTAATCTTGACGAATGTTCGTATACAATTATACTTATATGTATAGACTGTTTAAGACCCGGGAAAGAGTGACTCGCAAGGAGAAGGCTGGATTTCATTCTAGTCAAAGATGTATTGATCATATCTTCACCCTACGCCATGTGTTAGAACACCACCATACTTATTGCAGGTCCATAATCGCAGTGTTTCTTGATATCAGGACCACCTTCGCTTCGTTGGAAAGGACTATTCTATGAGGTCGTCTGTTGAAGAAAGGTGTGTCTGAGAAATTTATTAACATCTCAAAAGCCATATATAATAGCACCTCAGATAGAGTGAGGGAATACAATCACCGCTCTCCATTGTTCCATTCAACCAGTGAAGTTAGACAGGGTTGCCCAATCTCACTATTCCTTCTCAACTTTGGTGTCTTCATGATGTTGGTCTACCTGTTAAAGGTCGGATCTGCGACTCGTCAGTGAGAGCCATTTTACTGTATGCTTGTGAAACCTGGCCTTTCCAAGTTGGGGATGTTAAGCGACTTTGTTGTATCATCACGTTTTCTGAAGGATTGTTGACATACACAGGCAACATGTTAGTAATCAGGAGGTTCGGGGACAGTGACGATCATTCAATCGGTGTCACTGTCTTAAAACACCGGATTCAATGGCTTGGGAATGTTCTAAGGCATTATTTGCCGACGCTGGGACTGGTTGTTCAAGTGGGGGTGGTCAGTATATGACATGGTTTCGTGGTATGACAAAAAGCTCCACAGGAGTGGCTTCCGTCGGACCTTCACGGCGACGTGGTTGGAGTCCGAGAGGTAAATCAAAGTTGCCAGACATGGCTTACAGTAGAAGCCAGTGGCGATCCTGTTGTAACTTTATTTTACTTTTTTCATAAAAGTGGGAGAATTTCTTACACCGAAAGATTACTTTCTGATTTTGTCTTTCCTAAATGAATTGCTTCTATTAATATTATTCCGCACACTAATTCCTGTCCATTCTGTTCTCTCTTTATACTACACTCGCCTTTTCACTATCTCTCCACAATCTTATTTTTATTGTGCTCCATTGTACCAATGTTTATGTAATTAAATATATTTTAAAAAATAAAAAAATCAACAATAGTATATCCATAACGCCATAAAGAAAAGACGAAAATAATCAGTGCTAATTATTTTGACACTTTAAAAAACATCATTTGATAAAAGACTAGTGTATTTCACTTGACGAATAAAATTAGTACAAGTTGAACAGCTTATCTCTAACTAAATGTCTACACTAATGAATGATATCACCTGAAAGGTTAGATAGATGCTTTTTTCAGTTTCCGACAGCCGAGTGTTTATCACCCACAATACAAAAAAAGGAAAAAAACTGATTGACGTTTAGGTCAGCAAGTGAGTTTGACACTGAAGTTTTAAAGTGCAGCATGTTAAACATCACTTATGCTTTCACACGTTCAACTTTTAGCTTAGTATGAATCAGATATATATGTTTAAATAACGAATTAAATTTCTCAGATTTCATAATAAATACTTACCTGATGTACGGAAAATACGGTGATATGTGGTCTTGTGTAAGAGAGAGGAAATAACTACAAAAAAATCGTGTGAATTAATAAGTAGTGGATACAACATACTGGATGAGCAATCAGTATATATATATATATATATATATATATATATATATATATATATATATATATATATATATATATATATATATATATATATATACGATGATAAATTTATAAAACATGATTTGGTTATTTATTCTCTGAGGAAGTGGCTTACACTAAGTCACGAAACGTCAGAAAATCCTATTTTTCTACTCATTGGGATATTACAAATATATTATTTATTTATGAATATTAAAGATTCCTATTGTGAAAATTAGAACAACATATATAAGCGAACAATTGCTTTCAATTAGATCATCATCAGGCTTTACTCTAATATACATGAATATTTATACGAAAATGTTAAACCAATCAAGGCAATATGGGTCAATAATCACAATGAAATAGAATAAGTCACCACACATAATAGGTAAAATTCATGTTGATAGTAGGAAGACAGGTGTACTGATAGTAGTAAGAATAATAAAATACGATAACAAAAGTCTTATCAATAGTTCCAAGTCTATTTACCCACGTTTGACCTTCTATTTCCAACGTTTAACTGTTGATAAGACTTTTGTTATCGTATTTTATTATTCTTACTACTATCAGTACACCTGTCTTCCTACTATCAACATGAATTTTACCTATTATGTGTGGTGACTTATTCTATTTCATTGTGATTATTGACCCATATTGCCTTGATTGGTTTAACATTTTCGTATAAATATTCATGTATATTAGAGTAAAGCCTGATGATGATCTAATTGAAAGCAATTGTTCGCTTATATGTGTTGTTCTTATTTATTTATGTATGCATCTATTTATTTATTTAAACACATAAAAATTGATACAAGGAGGCACCAAATAGATATGCGCCACATTCGATTTTGTGAGAGCTGGAATACTGCCCGGGTGCTTAAACCGAAGCGGGTTGTTTTCCTAAGGGGCCACACCCGGAGCCTTCGACCTAAAGGTCTGACCCACAAGGCAGTGGAGTAACGTCAGGAAATGCAGTCCCATGGTAGCCGTTGACAAACGATTGGTTCATACGCCATTTGTACCCTCAGAATATTGGAGCCTATATGTACCATTCGTTTGTAGTTAGGGCTTCCCAATCCTCCTAGGAGGACCTCCCTCATCCGCCAATCCAGTTAAAGAGCCGGACATTCGCTTTTCGTGCTCTCAATTTCGTAAATAACACACCCACCATGAGAAGGCAATGAGTAGAAATATCCTGGCAGTGGTTGTATACGCGTAGCCATGCGAGAGCATTTCGAGAAGGAGAGCTGACTTTCCCCACCCTTGGACGTGCCAGGGTATTTGGGGGAATATACTCCGTTTGATAGGTAGCCCACTACCGTATTATGTTCTTAAATGCCAAACTGGCTCACCATATTAACAACGACTTTTATCAGTTGTCTGTTTATTATGACTGGTGAAAATTCTTAAATAAATATAGCGATCTACAAAGTCAGCTACCTCATTATTCTTAAACTAAATGAACGCGGAAACTACCCTTGGGTTATCACTCTGTATTCGATGACTACAAAGAATGTCAAATACCCGAGGGTTTTGTTGTGACATTAAACCCGGCTAGTTGTCACGTGACTTATTCGCTAATCGAAATACGACTTATTTAATCTCAGTAATGTGCTAACCAATGACGTTCGAGCGGTACGAGCAGCCTAGCGTCCTTATTGGTCTTTTGTTCGCCTAGTCCGTTCAGTTGAGTTCAAAACGCCAATAACAGCTCCTACTATGCGAATCATTTGTTTCAAACATACTTGGTCTATATACCAGCCAAACAGACCAAACCACACCATAAAATAGGAAATGACATTTACACAAGATAAAGCCAAAAAGTGACAGTGAACATGGGAGATTGTAATCAATAAACCCAGTATAATTCAAGAACAGTAAATCGTATGGTAATAATCTATAGGTCAAAATGAAGCTTATAATAAGAGGAATACAGATACACATAATCTAGTTACTGAACATTTATACAATAGGTATATATATATATATATATATGTAATGTTAGTCCATTAATAGTTCTCAGAAGTTACCCGTAGTTTAATCTTCACTAGGATATAAGTTTTCGCTAAAGACAGTTGAAGGACCTGATAGGTTGCCAGTATTTTGAATAACAACAGTGATATAAGGGAGTACAACAATTATCTGAGAGAATCCTTCATACAAATTACGTTTGAAAACACATATTAATAATTATTTTTTTAACATCACTATTCAAATCCCTAATAGATGACAGTAAATTGAGTTGCGAATTAACTCAACTCTCAGATTGAGCACTCTTTTACTGAATGCTTTGCTTCACAGTTATTTTCTGATAAAGATAAAATGATAAGTCAAAATTGACTATAACGTGGAAAACAAAATATAATAGAGAATTCCAAACCACCTACCAAGTCGTGACTGCAACAAAGGTGAGAACACACACGAGGATCGGTAACAGATGCAATCCAATGCCGCCTGAACAAAGAAGCATTGATTTAGATATCCCACAAAAATATAGTAATGGGTATAAAAATTGCCTGAAATACAGAATGCATCACGATGTCATTCATAAACAGAACAATCAGATTTTACTTACTTGGTCATTTAGCAACAGACAACTACAAGAATCAGAAAATAATTCGATGAATTTATACGATAGTGCATAAGATCACATAATATTCACCGTTGTGACGTAGTACAAATGAACTTAGTATATTACATTGTTTAAATTTGTGGTTTAATGATTTATATGTCCGAAGTGCAACAACTAGGTTCTAATACCATCTGCTTCAGTTTTGGGAGCCAGGTAGCCTTACCAGCATTCACATTAAGTGTAGCTTGAAGCCAAGTACATGAATTTGCACTTCATAAATAAGTTATATCATCACTGGCTGACAAAATATATGAAGAACGGAGTCTGAAAACATACAATTAGTTCAAAAAGAGCCAAATGAAAGCCAAATGCAAAATTGTAAGGAGAAACTCTGCGTAGATAAATGAAGTTGGAAACCTATCTGTTTGAAAAACTAGAGACAAACTTAAATTTATAAAAATGATGCCTAACTACTTGCACCATCTATAAACAAATATTTATTTAATTTGTGACAACACAATCAATTGTGGTAATTTATTATGAAGCACTTCGATGATATACTTTGAAACCACTCTATGTAAATTGATAACGAAGACTTCATTTCTTTAGTCGATCTAGTTAACCTAGCTATGGTGAGATTAATAAAAAGAAAAATTCTGAAACATAGGAGTTACAAACAGTAACAATCCCAAAAACTATAGCTTAAACTATCCTATGTTTATGATCACAGTTTATCCTAATACGTCATTTAATACTTGCACAATTTGTTAGCAGCCGATATTTAAAAAGCTCCAACTATCATGTGTTATAAACTGCAGGACAGTCACTAGAATTCTACGAACAAAAACTTCACCAGCTTTGACAAAGGTAACTGAATTGTAAACTAAACGCCCTACTGGTGTATGAAACAAGACAGTTAGTCGTAAACCCCAAACGGTACATGTCACTAAATAAATTCCCATTTAGAACTAATTTACACTCTTGCTTCAAGAGCTGGCGTACTAACCAGTTACTAAATTAAGTCGGGAGAAATAATAAATTAAACAAATTCGCGACTACTGTAAATACTCCGCATAAACAGTAAGTTGTAAAAATGCAGGACCGCACCCATTATTTGGGGTCATAGCAGAAAAGCTTAATGATGATTATTTGGAATAACAAATCTGGTACACATGAAATTTGTTACCATGTCCAGGAACTCTACACTTTAAACGAACCCATGTAGTTATGATAAATCCCAGTGTTATTAAGGAGCATATAGAGTATAGCTTGAATACATACCAGCTCTCATGAAATTCCACTTTTAAAAAATCATAATTAGGTATTCATTAAATGCGACATTTTGCGAAATGAATGGACTAAAACTAACTGGTCCCAACTATAAGGTATCTATATTCAGTGGTTACCGGTGTTTAGTTGCGCAGAGGACATAACTCTGACAAAATACCGTTTTACATGACAGAAAACACACTAAGTATAGTCATGAGGTCATGATCATTTTGGGAAAAATTCACAGGTCTGCACTTCCTCCTTGGTTCAAAATATAACTCCATAACTTCTCGGAACAGCGCTATCTACTGGTTTATTTCCTTTTTCCAAACCGCGTTTTTATGGCTAGTGCAGCCCATAAGCGTAGGTTGTGATCACGTAAAACAGAACCACCACTACAATCCACAAAGATACACATTTGAGTTGTAACAGTTGAAAATTTACGTATTGTGCTTCGGAAGCAAAGGTGATGATGGTTGAGACGTTGTTGGGAAAGTGCTTTGCCAGTGGTTCCTTCAATAACAACAGCCGTACGAAAGACTACTTACGCTGTGTACTTTAAGTTAGGTTACTTAGCTATACACTTTTAGAGTCAGGGTCACAGTGATATACAGACATTCAATATATAACATTTACAGACATCTTGGCTGAGAAGCTAAAGACGTTCATGACGTGCAGTTCTGATTCAGTCGGAACTATGCTATCCAAAATTTAAATTAGCGAGAGGCTGTGAAACCACTATTATTTCACGAAGCAATCACACATGGTATTAAATTTATGAATATGAACTGGGCGAAGACTGAAGGACAAAAACATTACGTAACCAAATTTTCCGAATTATAGACTGAGAGATTAGCTTTAAAAGATGTTAATCAAACGTGAACTCCCTATTTTAGAGAACCTTTGAGGAATTTTATGGTTTTCCCCAGTATTGGGAAATTTTCGGAAAAACCCCAAAGTGTTATAAGATCCTGTGGAAATATTGGAGAAAAACAAAAAAATTTTCCCCAAAAATTTCGTGGATTTTCCAAAAAGTTTGAGGTTTTTGCCAATTCCCTAGAGTTTTCAATTGTGTTTTCTCCAGAAGTTTACCCAAAACGGACAAAAATCGCCCTATATATGGGGATTGGGAAGTATTAGGTATATTCTGAAGCATTATTTTGCGGCCGCGATAAAATCCACGGGAATTACCGAGAAAGCCAAAGCCCAGGTATCTGATCAAAGTTCAGAAACTTTTCAAACAAAATTCAATTACATACATTATGAGCAAACAGATATAACCGAAGAAAGCACTTGCAAAAGTTTTCGATAACGTCGATAGTTTTTTGTAAATTGGACAACCTTAGAACACTAATACTACTAAAATTCTCTGGACAGACATGATAGAATAGTAAGTGTAAAAAAACGAGAACTCCCAACTAACCTCGAGTTTTTATAAACCGCTGACTGGATAACCCAAGTGTTATCGTTGTTAGGAAAAGCTACCTGCTCAATGTCCATCATCGAGTTCAATACGCCTGTCAGCCCTTATCTTGATATTATCTGGTATGGACCAAACAGGTTTCTTGATATTGAAACTTTTGTTCGTCTACAACGACACCTAAACGTTAGCATTTTGTATAATTCAGAATAATATTAAATTCGACAAACTGAAAGTTACAAAGCCGGATAAAAATAAACTTATAACCAATACAATACAAATTTCTGATTGCATCTCTACAATAAGGCATAATTCAGCATTTGTATAAATACGTAGAATAATCGACATATTAGTATATATTTACTTCAAGATTTAATATACATTTTATGGATACAATTACGAAGCTGTAAGGTAGGATTTTACTTATTAGGCTAGCATGATGTGTTTATTTGAAAGGCAACGCGTTATTAGTTAAACACCTTTTGTATGAGACAACCAGCCTGTAGAAAACAATGTGTGGAAGGATAAGTTGAAGAGTTGTGGTCAGAGATAATTCAATGTCATAATGTAATCTCATGATTTAATAATGACTTTGACCTGAATAATCGGTGATTAAACGCATGCCGTATGTGCAATTTTCTATGGTCTCTGCATATTTCATACGTTTTAGGTAGAGCGTGAACCTTCATAGAAGTACCACCAGTATTAGTGAATGATGACAATAATAATTCATATATTCTGAAAATAATAATTACAGACTTCACGCCATTTTACAGGCATGATCAATTTGATATAAATAGTAACATTAGATGTACAGAAAAAACATGTGATATGAGTTTTAAGTATACTAGTTCAGTAGTTTTTTAGGTAGTACATGTATTACAGCGATCCAATGCATCAGCCAAAAATTTTTAATATTTCTTAAATGGACAGCCCGTTGATTTATGGACGGAGTAATTAAGGTCAATTCGTGTGCCAGATCGAATTAATGATAATTATCTACAACTAGAGAAATTAAAACGAAAACAGAGAGCACGGAACAACAAAGCGGTAATTACCAAAATATATGAATCAGGTCTACCTAAATGCGTGTGTCATGTAATACAGTGATATACTGTTGGTGTTATTCAAACTAGTTAAACTTTCTGGGGACGGTGTCACCATAAAGTGACAGCAAGTAAGTGATTTTACTTAGGGAATGCACTAATAAAAATGGCTAAACATTTAAAGTATATATATAAAGTATATCTATAATACTACTTGTGGAATGAGATACACTTACAGGTGCTAGACCATTCAATGCATTTTCAGAGGAGCAGTATACATCGATGCAGCGAACAAATAATGGGAGTGATTTTATCGTACGGATAGATTGTGGTAGGTTATTCCAGAGTCTAGAAAATTTACAGGTGAAGTAACTCATATAAAAAGATGATTCGGAATGAGTTTGTTTCACTAGTGCCAAGGAATTACGGATGTCATAATGAGAAGTCCTTGCATATTGAATCGCATGATTGGATGTAAACGATAGTTTATGAAGTAGTTTGAAGAAAAAGATAAGATTTAGTTTGAGTCTCCTCTTCCATAAGGGATCTAGCCCAAGTTTAATACATCTATAACTATAAGTTAAGGTACAATCAGCTCCAAGAATACGAAGTGTAAATCGTCTCTGTACTGATTCCAGCCTTAATTTATCCTTTATGCGCCCACTGCTAAGAATAAACGTGAAATATTCTAGAAGAGGTCGAGCACAAACTTTGTACATTAGAATACGTGACTCATTGTTGTAAAGGTTTCGAGTTATGTAACCTATTACACGTTGAGACTTAGAGGTCTGTTTTAATATATGTTCTGTAAACGACAAGTCTTGGGAATATCTAAGTCCTAAGTCTACTACTGTATGTAACCTAGATAACACCTCTCCATTTATGGTAATGTCTAGGTTGAGTGATGTATCACCGAAGCATATCCATCCACATTTAGCCGTATTAAGCTCCAGTTGCCATTTTAAGCACCACTATGCTACCTTGTTAAGCTCCATGCTAATGCAATTTTGCATATTTTTCAGGTTATGTGGAGAAAATGAATATACTACTTTAAGATCATCTGCATATAGAAGGGGCTTACCGACACAAAAACTTTCACAAATATCATTGATAAACACTAAAAAGCGCAAAGAGCCTAAGACACTACCTTGTATTACACAACTTCTAACAGGGACAGCGTTAGACAATGAAGATTTAATTTTAACTATTTGATATCGATTACTGAGAAAGGAATCAAGCCAAGAAAGCAAAGGATTTTGAACCCCATAAGATGCGAGCTTACCTATAAGAAGTTGGTGGCTAACCATGTCAAAGGCTTTAGAAATGTCCAGATATAGCACTAAGACTAGATATCCTTGGCTACGTAGAGAATAGACTAAATTAAAGAAGTCAAAATGACAGAGGAATCTAAACAAGAGTTAACGATCAGATAGAATTCGTCGATAGCATCCATGAGAATATTACATGAAAAAAAAGTTATCCCAGCCTGAAAGTTTAATCAATGAATGCAGAAGGTCCCAGTCAGCATGCTTATATCCTCTATATTGACTGGTTTTTTGGATGGGTCGGTTATAAGAGGGATAGATAGGGAGAGCACAAACTACTATCTTATGGTCGCTGCTTTCAAATTCGTCGTAAACTTTTACAGATAGTGGGATAACATCTCTACTAAATATTAGATCGAGTATACTAACGCCTCTAGTTGGGGTACGAACCCACCGTGACCAGCAGTGCTTGTTAATGGATGCCGAGAACTCATCATCACATAACTGACAACTACCGGTACTCCAGTTAATCCCAGGGTGATTGAAATCTCCAGTGATAACAGATGCATGTATGAATGCATTGATAATAAGATCATTCCCATTATTCGAACTATCAGGAGCTCTGTATATAAATCCAAGGAGTAGACTATGATTTAGGGTGTTGACTCATATCCAGACTGATTCTGGTAAACTATTCAGGACACTATCTTCAACTTTATTGGTTGTTATGGTATCCAAAGCAAATATAATGCAACCACCTCCTTGTTTAGTTCCTCTGACACAGCGAGAGTCGATAGTTCTGGACATTTAATTCTCAACCAGATACTGCTTGAGAGCATCATGTTTCAGTGTCAAGTATGAAAGAAGGCTTGGCTAGAAAAACTAATGTTCTCAACGCTGAAATTTTGTTCAGAAGTGAACGTGCATTGATAATTAATAAGTTTAAAAAGAGAGTATGGAGTGTAAAAAAACCGATAGCTTCCCTATTGATGTTGTGCATTTCCGATTTGCATAGACTGTGGTTTATTATGTTTGGCTGATTATATGGGCTATCGCTTGAACAAACTGTAGTGCAAGTGGGACCAGGAATTTTCGAAGGCCAAATATCATTATTTTGATAAAGTGGATTAATTTGTTGAACCTGACTAGGCGAGCAGTTAAGAAAAGCACCTGCCAGATGGGGTTGGGTTGGTGGTGAGTAACCTAGTAATCCATCTTGTCCAATGGGAAAAAATTGAGAAAAGTTACGTCTTACAGGTTTATTATTTAAAACATTTGAGGGTAACCGTGGGACATGTCGGTTCACTGTGGTCTGTCCAATATTAGGCCTGCTCACATAATGATTGCAATGGTCGTCTTGTGGGACATTTGAATGAAGCCTGCCCTTATAACCTCCCCTGTGTAGGGTAAAGCATGGTGTTGGGAAGTATAATCTTATTTTATTTGGTAGGGCCTTCGTAATGTTCTTGTTATTGGGTCTAGAACCAGGTTCTGTACATACATTTTTCTTACGCGGCATAGACTTTTCAATCTTGACAGTGTTTTTAAGAGCTGTCGCATTAGGACTAAGTATTTGCTTATGGGCTTCGAATGGTAAATTGGAAAATATCGGATTAGTGTCGTCATTAAATGTCATTGGTTATCGGGTCAAGTTTAAATAAAAACAACAACTCTAGCAAACCATTTTTGAACCTTTTGTTATAACTGTGAGCTAAGTGGTATATGGAATAAATCAGGGAAGCAAGATCTGTAACAACATAAGCTGATTGGTTAGGAGTTGGTCGCGAACATCTTAGTAATGTCGAAACATTATAGCTCAAGTTATCATTCACTCCTTCTCTTGTATATGCATTATATTTCTTATCATATTGTATTAAATGTTGATTGTATGCCATCTACGATATTAATGAGGATCTATTCACTACTACTTTGGTTTTCTCTATCAATAAAACGAAGGGCATCCACAGGCATAAAACTGGGGAGCCCTATATTGAACTTAAAAATTGATTTCAATTTAGCTTAATATTTTGTTTGCCTGGTCGTTAAAGTAAAACTTCTGGTTATTTTAAACGTTAATTTCGTACACCTATGTTTTATACATTGTTTCTTCGTCACAAAGCATTCGTGCTGAAGTCATTGTTATACCCCGTTCATGTTATAGTAATATATTGGTCTTGTAACAAATTTTAGATTCAATACAAACCGAAAGCCTGAAGGAACAATGTAATTTCTCAACAGCAGAAATAAACACTGTTACGGCCATGAAAGTACTACTCCCAGAAGTTGATCTTACTGGCCACTAGTTGCGGTTTGCTCAACTAAATCATTATTTCATGAGACAGAACAATAAATCCGAGGGATTTCGGTACAGAGCTTTATGCTTTGTCCTATCTCCTTCAGTCGCCAGATAAGTTCGTGACTTAATTTTGGGTTCACAAACGTTACAACCACACATCATTTTTAATATGAGAGATGATTAACCGTCCATCTTTATCAGATGGAAAAAGGACAAAATGGCTTTTCCAAGGTAAAACGATAAGTTATATGTTACTACAGTTGTTACGTCGCCTTCAAGTCTGAGCGAGACGATCAATTCTAAAACAAGAATGATACAAGCTTCACCATTCTACACTCATAACTGTTTGGATGGTTAAAATCCGGCACATCTTTATCTTTTTTAGCACGTCTTGCAAGTGGAATGATCGAAAGAGATCCCCCAACTGGACCACATACGCTTCATCATACACAAAAATAAGAATCAATAAAAGATCCAATCATAGCAGAATACATTGCAAGTGTTAAAATTTCACAGGGACTGCAGCTAAAATGTATACAGATCGTAGAAC